CACTGCCACCCTCATCCGGCGTGAGAGCGCTGCTTCCGCTCCGTAAGTGAGGGCCTCGGCCCAGGCCTCTAATGACCAGCCTCCCTCTGCAGTGCCTCCCTGCAGCCTTGGCCGGCCACCGCCTGCTCTGCTCAGTGACCAGTGCCCCCTACTCTGGGCAGGGAAGGGGCCAGGGGTCTCCCAGACTCACCCTCCCACCATGCTAGCCCCTCTTCTTCCCTGGGCTGCCGATGGGAGGAGCCAGGCCTGTGACCACAAGCCCCATGGAGGTTCGCTGGTGTCCCGCTGTCGCTGACCAGGCATCCACCAGGCTGTGTGGGTCTGAGCCTAGAGGTCTGTGAGTGTGTCCGGAGGGCTCTGGGCCTGTCTTGGGGCTCTGTACCCTGCCTGAGGGTCTGGGTTGTCTCTGTGGCTGTCTCTGAGTCTTGCTGTGTATCGGTGTGTCTGTCTCCCGCGTTCATCTGTCAGCCTGGGTTCTGCGGCCAGGCCAGGTCTGGGTCGGCAGGTCTAGATTTGCCTCCCTGAGTGGGTGGATGAGGGACTGGAACTCCCCAGGTGGTGGGCTGGAACCTGGAACCTGTGGGGGTGGGTGCCTCGGGGCCTGGAGTGTGGAGGAGCCATGGGCTCCCAGCCGGTGAGAGTAGAAACCCTGGGAGAGAGGGAGTTGGAGATAGAGGGAGAAGGGCCTGAGCCCAGCCCCCACCCCACCCCATCCGGGCGGCTGGGGCCTGTGCTTCCAGCACCAGGATTCCAGGAGACCTCGGGTGGGCTCTACCTTAGAACAGCCGACTGGGGCACCCCAACCCATCATCCACCAGCACCCTTTGCTCCTACAGTCACTGTCTGAGGGCTCCACTGTGGTGGGGAGCTGTTCAGAGACAGCAGGGACCCCCACCTCCAGCTCGGGCAGATACTCTTATTTCTCAGGGGTTTGGCGGTGCAGGCGGTACCTATAACAGGGTCTCTGGCTCTTTCCTCCCTCCTCATCCAAGATTTTTGCATGGAAACCGCAGTACCCCATCTGTAAAACCAACATTTTCCACTTTATGCACGGGGAAACTGAGGCTCAGAGAGGCGAAGTGACTTGCCAGAGCTTGCACAGCTAATCTGCGGGTTCTGCTCCTTCTGTGGGGTGAGCCAGCTGAGTGGGGTCTGCGCGGGGGTCTCTGGCCACAGTTCGCAGGCCCCAGGCTCAGCTCCGACCGAAGCCCGAGGCCTCTAGGCGGGCGGGAGCCCAGATGGAGCCTTTTGGTGGGTTGCGCCGCTGTCAATGCAAAATTGCGGTATTTTCCTGCTTGAAGATCGCGGCTTTTTGGCCTCATGGTCCTGAAACTCTCTCCGACCCCAGGTGCCAGGGGTGGGGGGAGGCAGGATGCGGGCAGGCCCCTTCCTCTCGGGTCAGTTTCTCCAACTGAAAAACAGTGGCCCCACGGATAGTTCCTAGCCCAGAGCAACTGCTCGGCCCGTCGGCCGGGAACCCCTTTGTCCCCAAGGCCGCCCAGCGCTTTCTTCCTTGCCCCACCCCTCGTGAGAGCTCCGAAGGGAGCAGCGGGGCCCTGCCTCCGGCCTCCTCTCCCAGCTCCTGCGCCCGTAAAGGCTTTGGGTCCTCCCTAGGCCTCAGGCATTAGTAAAATGGGATTTCCACGATTCCCATTTCCAGCCCAGCGAACTGAGGCTGGTGAGCAGAAGGGTTTCGCCTCAGATCTCCCCAGCGGGGCGCCACTGAGCGCTTCCACCAGGCCACGCGCGTGCTTTGCCCCTACTGCTTGGGTTCATCCTCACGACCCACCCTTAGCGAGGAAGAGCGGTCATCTACCCACTTCACAGATGCGGCAACTGAAGACGCAACGGGCAGAGAGCTGCCGCAGGCTCGAGTGAGCAGACTTGGCGGGGCCCATGGGAGAATCTGGCTTCCACCCGTGAACCTGAGCCTCGGCCACTGTAGCCACTCGCCCTTACCCGCTTCCACGCTGCAGTGCGACCAGCAACCCGCGTGGCATTCGCCACGACCCAGCTGGGTTCGCAGACAGGAGCTGCCTCTTCCCACTGCAGGCGGGTGACCCGAGGCCCCCAGAGCCGAACACCTGTCCAGATCGCGGGGCACTCGGGCTCCGCAGCTCTCTGGCCGCGCTTGGGGTCCGGGGAACAGGACAGGGGCTGGGGGGCGGGGAGGATGAGAGCGAAGACTGGAGCCGGGCTGCGGAGAGGGTGCCCGGCGCGGGCCGGGCTTGGGGGGAGGACGCGGCCGGGCCTCCGCCCCCGGATACCGCAAGCGCCGATATAGAGGGGCCGGCCCCCGGCCCCGGCGCGGCGGGTTGCTTGGGGCGCGTGGCCGGCGTAGGGCACGGTCCCAGTGAGCGCCTCGGAGCGGTCCCGGCAGCTGTGGGACGGGGGGCAGGCACGGGGGCGGGGAGGCGGGAGGGCTGAGCCCCCGCGCCGCCAGCCCAGGCCCCCGCCTCCCCGCCCCCGGCCCGAGCGGCCGTCATCGCGGGCGGCGCGCTGCGCCCCGGGTGCGGCTCCTCGCCGGCGGCGGCGGCGCGGCCGGGAGGTGCGGGCTCCGCGCGGGCGGGACGCGGGGCGCTGCTGGCGGGAGCAACCAGGTGGGCGTCGGGCCGGCCGCGGCCGCCGTCGCTCCCCCTCTCGCGTCCCGGGCCCTGGCTCCGGTCGCTTCCCTCCTCAGGACTTCGCCTCTCCGCCCGAGGTCGCTCCCCCGCCTCGGGCTCGGCTTCCCGGAGCCCGCCGACCCCCGCCCGAGGTCTCCCCGCCCGACGTCCCGGTGGCAGCGGCGGCTCGGGCTGTGCCTCCTGTTGCCGTCGCTGCCGCGGCTTTGTCTCTCCCGGCGCGGGGGCCCCCGGCGGCTCCGCGTTTTCGGGCTCTTGGTCCCGGGGCCGTCGTTTTCCGCCTCCTGCGGCCCGGGCCCCCGTCCGGGTCCGATCCCGCGGGGCCTCGCCTCGGCGCTTGGGCTCCCGCGCGTCCCCTGTCCCCGACCCTCGGGCTGGGCACCTCCGTCTCCAGGTTTTCTCTCCGTGTTTCTATCGCTCTCCGGCCTCGTCTCTCCCGGGCTCCTCTCGTCTCGGCGTCTCTGTCTCTCGTCTATCGTTGTGTCTCTGGCTCTGCGTGGGTCTCTCTTGAGTTTTCTCCTTGGGCCTCCGCTGTCTCTCCGAGTATCTAATCCGATCCCCCACCCCTCGTTTCTCTCTCTCTCTCCCTCTCCCCCCCCCCCCCCCCCCAGTGTCTCGTCCCCGCCGGGTTCTCTCCAGCTCGGCGTCTCTGTGTCTGTGTCTCTGGCACTCTCGGACTGGCCTCCTGTCTGCGCCCCGCGGAGTCGGTCGTTGTCTCTTGTCAGGGTTTCCGCCCATCTCTGTCTCGCCCGGACTCTGTCTCTGCCTCCTTCGTCTCTGTCGGGTTCCCAGAACACCCGGGCCGGGCGCCCTACCGTTCCCTGGTCCCCTGGCGTCTTCCCCGCGGCTGAGCCCATCTCCTTTTCTCAGAATCGGGGTTTTGTTCTCAGACAAACGAATCCGAATCGAAGCGCATCGAATCCGAGGGCCCCAGATCCGGCGCGACGGGGTCCGCGCGGGAGGAACCCCCAGGCGGGGCGGGAGCGCGGGGCCTGGGCGGGGAAGGCTGGGCGCGGGGACTGCACCGGGCCCACCCCGGGACGCTGCGCGGGGCGCTCGGTGGGTGCCGGCGGCAGTGCCTGGGCGCCGCGAGGGGATTACGCGACGGACCAGCGACAGCCGCTGGGGCGGTGGCCGCGGGGACCCCAAGCTGCCGGTCTCCGCCGGCCCGCCCTGACCGCTGTCCCTCCGCAGGCAGACGCCGCGGGCATGGACTATTCCTACGACGAGGACCTGGACGAGCTGTGTCCCGTGTGCGGGGACAAGGTGTCCGGCTACCACTACGGATTGCTCACGTGTGAGAGCTGCAAGGTGAGCCGCGGGCTCGAGGCAGGGTTGCGGCGGACGGGCGCGGCGGGGCCCCGCTGACTCTCAGCTCCCGCAGGGCTTCTTCAAGCGCACGGTGCAGAACAACAAGCACTACACGTGCACCGAGAGCCAGAGCTGCAAAATCGACAAGACGCAGCGCAAGCGCTGTCCCTTCTGCCGCTTCCAGAAGTGCCTGACGGTGGGGATGCGCCTGGAAGGTGCGCGCCGCGCGGGCCTGGATCCCTGACCCCTGACAGCCTGAGCGGGTAGGGGGTGGGGGTGGGAGAGGGGCTGAGGGGATAGCACCATTGGCCTTCGCGAAGGCCCCTCGTGCAACATTAGGGCCCAGTCGCTGCAAGGGAACCGGGCGCTGGCGCTGGCGCTGGGTGGACCTCCGGCCGGGAAGGGACTCTGGCAAGGCCAACCTGGGTTGGGCTGAGAAGTATCCAAAAGTGAACCCTATGGAGATGACCCTTTCCCCAGCCCCTGCCAGGGCCCCAGCACAGGATCTGCAGAGCTCCTCCCTCTGTGAGAAGGTCCCCATCCTCCCAACAATACCAAACCCTAGCCAGCAGAGGCCAAGTCCCAGTGCCAGCACAGCACTGTCAGTCAGGCTGGGTGACATTGGGCAAAATCCTTAACCTCTCTAAACTGCAGATTCCCCATCTGAAACATGGGCTTGGCGGGATGCAGTGGCTCATGCCTGTAATTCCAGCATTTGGGAGGCTGAGGCAAGAGGATCACTTGAGCCCAGGAGTTTAAGACCAGCCTGGGCAACATGGAGAAACCTTGTCTCTATAAAATACAAAAAAGTAACTGGGCATGGTGGCATGTGCCTGTAGTCCTAGCTCTCAGGAGGCTGAGGCGGGAGGATCACTTGAGCCTGAAAAGTGGAGGCTGCAGTGAGCTATGATCACACCACTGCACTCCAGCCTGGGCAAGAGGGAAAACCCTGTCTCAAAAAATAAAGACATCAAAATAAAAAAGAAAGAAAAGAAAAGGCAGAAAGAGAAAGAAAGAAAAGAAAAATGGGCTTAACGGCACTGCCTTCCTCCAGCTAGCGAGTGTGGGGATTGGTGTAGGAAAGCTGAAGGTGTCTGGGCATTCATCCACAGGCTAGCTGTCAGGCCCATGACGCTTTCCATTAGGATCTGCCCACCACCGCTGCCCAGCCCCCACACATTCAGCTGCCCATCTGTTTGTCTGTCTGTCCATCCGAAGGGCTCTCTGGTTTATTCACTCAGCCAGTGAGATTCCTTCCCGTCATGTTCTTAGCCAGGCCTTGAGGGGGCTGGGCAGTGGGGGACACTTGAATTGCCCCTAAGGAACGCAGGCCCCTCTTTGCCTCCCTACCCTCAACCCCAGCTCTCAGTCCAGAGAGGAGGAGAGAAATTTCGGCAGGAAAGATTTGAGCTTCTGGAGGTGGCTGGCCATTGGACTGTGTGCTGAACAGACAGTGGTTGATTAAGGTTTTGGAACAGTGTAGAAAGCCCCAGGTGGCTCTGAGAGTGGCAGACCACATGCCCTGCCACCTGGAGGAAGGACCCCTGGATGGGAGGGGAGCATCCTATCCTGTCCCCAGAGTGCATGCCCCTAGCGCCAGGTCCCAAGGGGCCAGAGATCTGTCTGCTGTGGGCAGCAGAAACTCCCATGCAGCCTGGGAGCAGCACAGCGCTGCTCACCCCAGGGGGAAGGAAGATTGGCCAGGTGGCCCCCCAGCCATCATCCCTGCTGAGCACCACCCCCTCTCTCCTGCTCTTTCCCTTCACCCAGAGCCCAGGGTGGGGCTCTGTCTGAGCAGGCGCTGGGGGCACACTCCAGCCGCAGAGATGCACCTGTTGGTTCTGGCTGATGACACATTCCTGGCCAGGTGGAGGAGCTTCTAATTGGCAAGAGAGGTCCCCTCCCCCAGCACAGAGCCTTGGCCAGCTCTAAACTCGGCTTCACATTCACAACCAGTGAAGGACACTTGAGTCATTTTGCAGCTGGAGCTCAGCAGTCAGGCAGTCAGTCAACAAACAGCTGGACCCTGGGGCCAGTGGTGAACAAAGCTGACCAGAGTCCCCTTCTGGTCACCATCTCCCTGCCAGGCCTTGCGCTAGGCACCTGAGCCCAGAACTGAGCCCGCAGGAGCACATGGCATGATCCACTCAGCATGATAAGAGTGGGCAAGGACAGGGCACCTGGGGCAAGGACAGTAGAGTCCGTCTGGGTGAATCCAGGAGTGCTTCCTGGAAGCAGTGACATTGAGGCTGGGTGTTCAGCAAGCTCAGGAGAAAAAAAATGTTTTTTGAGTCAGAAGGAAAATGAAAGCAGGGTGGAGGAGGAAGGAGATGTGTCAAACAGAGGAGTGGAGGTGAGTTAGGTGGAGCGGAAGGAGAGGGGTCTTAGCACAGATCGCCTGAAAAGCTGAGCAGGGCCTTGAATGCCAGGCAAAGGAGACTGAGTTCCCCTGTGGTCAGTGGGAGCTATGAAAGGATGTTGAGCAGGGGAGAGAGCGGTCAGATTTGTTCGGAAAGAATCTGTGGTGGGACAGCATGGGAGGTGGCTTGGAGAGGGTGAACCTGACCCTCTGCCCCTGCCCACAGCCGTGCGCGCTGACCGTATGAGGGGTGGCCGGAACAAGTTTGGGCCGATGTACAAGCGGGACCGGGCCCTGAAACAGCAGAAGAAGGCACAGATTCGGGCCAATGGCTTCAAGCTGGAAACAGGGCCCCCGATGGGGGTGCCCCCACCACCCCCTCCTGCACCGGACTATGTGCTGCCTCCCAGCCTGCATGCGCCTGAGCCCAAGGGCCTGGCCGCCGGTCCACCTACTGGGCCACTGGGCGACTTTGGGGCCCCAGCACTGCCCATGGCTGTGCCCGGTGCCCATGGGCCACTGGCTGGCTACCTCTACCCTGCCTTTCCTGGCCGTGCCATCAAGTCTGAGTACCCAGAGCCTTACGCCAGCCCCCCACAGCCTGGGCTGCCATACGGCTATCCAGAGCCCTTCTCTGGAGGGCCCAATGTGCCTGAGCTTATCCTGCAGCTGCTGCAGCTGGAGCCAGATGAGGACCAGGTGCGGGCCCGCATCTTGGGCTGCCTGCAGGAGCCCACCAAAAGCCGCCCCGACCAGCCGGCGGCCTTTGGCCTCCTGTGCAGAATGGCCGACCAGACCTTCATCTCCATCGTGGACTGGGCACGCAGGTGCATGGTCTTCAAGGAGCTGGAGGTGAGTCTCTCCTCCCGCCTGGCTGGCCCTGCATCATGGTCCTCCCGGCTGCCCAAGCCTTAGCCCAACTGTCCTTCGGATAGGGCCATCCTGCCCACTGGCTTCAGGCAGTAGCTGGGGACCCAGAGGCCACCCTGGGGACATTAAGGAGCATTTCCACTCCATCACAGCCTCCTGGGTCCCCGCTCCCTCCCTGTCCTTCTCTCCTCCTTGAGCCTCTCACAGCTGCTGCTGCTTTGATCTCTGCCTGTGTCTCTTCCTACTGTCTCTCTCCCTGGCGGGTTGTCTCTCGGCTTCTTGGTGTCTCTGCAGCTCCTTCATTCTCTGGGGCTCCCTGTTCTGGGGCTCTCTAGGTACGCATTTTCCTCGTTCTCTGAGACGCTGGGCTCCCTCAAAGGACTAGCTGAGTCCTTGGGAGACTGTCTTGTCTCCCCAGCCTTCAGCCCAGTGTTGGGAAGGGGATCCGGCCCATCCTGTCCTCCCATTCAGGGAGGCTGCCAATCCTTGCCAGCCTCCAACGTCACACACAGATGGGGGCTCTTAGTGTTTTAGCGTTTGGGACATTTGTGGGCCCTTCTCCTTCACAGCTGAGGTGAAAGATCCTCTTGCCTTTGCAAATCTTGTGTTTGCTGGATGTTCGTGTGTGTGTGTGTGTGTGTGTGTGTGTATGTGTGTGTTCAGGGAGCTAGGTGGGTAGGTGGGTGAGGGATTCCAGGGTCTGCCACTGATCTTCCCTGGCAAGGCAGCCTTCCTCTATGGCATGGCCTTCTTTCCCCCGGGTTGAGGTACCCGAAGCTACAGTAATCAGGAAAGCAGCAGGAGAAACTGAGGCCAGACATAGGAAAGAACTTTCCAGTCTTCCCACCTAGTGGCTTGAAGAGCCTGAGGCCCCAGAACTGCCCCTCCAGTGCCCTGGCTCTCTGAGACCTCCCCAGGGGCCCCTCCAGCTGGCCAAGGCCTGCCCCTTCCTGGCCTGGATTCAGGCACTCTTTCACCCAGGGCTATCGGTGTTTGGCTTACCCACGCTGCCCCCCTGGCTGTTCTGGGGCTGGGTGTAAACAGCAGAGCCCATTGCCCCCCCTGCTGGGGCCACTGCAGCCTTGAGCAGCATTGTCAGTGCTGACGCCACTTGGGCCTGGGCTTCCTCCAGGGGCATGAGGCCGGATGGGCTGGGGGCACTGCCTGCCCTGGCTGGTAGGTCGGGGGTGGGTGCTTCGAGCCCTAGGGGCATCACGGGACTGGGGCCTGGGCCATCTGAGAGTTGAGGATTGATGGTGGTGGCTACTGTTTCCACTGTGGAGGGCCTGTCATGGCTGAGGCCTGGGGATGTACCATGTGTCTGTCATGGGGAGGGTTTCTCATCCCAGCCCCTTCTCACCACTGCCTCCTCTCTGGTCCAACCTAATGGATGAGGCAAAAGGCAGGGTCTTGAACACTCCCACCTGCCTTCTGCTCATGGTTGGAGGTCCTGGTGGGGATGAGGACCCCAAGCCCCTTAGGTTGGTTGCTAGCTTCCCTCCAGACTTCCCATGCACCCCCTGTGCAGAGGGGAGGAGGAGGAGCAGGGCATTCCCGGCCTTCCAGAACCCTGGATTGAGGGGCAGGGCACTTCCTCTGGCCGCCTTCCTAGTCTCCCGGGGATTTTCACGCAGGATGGGAAGGGCTTTTGTCCCAGCTTTGCTGAGTGTTTTTTCCTGCTTCTGGCTTCTCCGTGGTCCAAACCTTCCTGCTTCCCCTTCCCAAAGTCTTTGAATTGAGCCCGGGATTATGAACAGTGGTCACCAGCTTCTGTAAAGGGGCCTTGCAGATAAGTACCAGCCCAGCCCTTAGAGCGCCTCTCGTCAACCATGTGGAAGTTCTTTTCCACTGGTCCAGTGGGCCCTGGGCTGGTGTCTCTTTGCAAAGCCCAGAGGTGAGGAGGCAGAAAAGTGGGAGGGGTGTGTGTGACTCTGGTGTCCCTTCTGGCTGATCATTCATTTCCCCACCTCCAGACAGGGCACATCTTAGCAGACAGAAGAGGGGGCTCTCTGGCTCTGAGAGTGGAGCAACCCTTGGGCTGGACACTGGGGACATTAAAATCATCTGGACCCAGGAAGCTGCCAACCTGGAGGAGAAGTCAGACATGTACCGAGATAATGCCAGTGTGAGGTGCCCAGGGCTCTGAGAGCCACAGAAGAGGCAGAGGGAACCCCGGGGGCAGAGCAAACAGCTCTAAGGAAGTCAAAGAACAGTTCTGTGCCTTTCTAGAAAGTAGAGAAGGTTCAGGGGATTCCAGGCAGTGGGCACAGCAGAGGCGAAGGCCCCAAAATGTGAAGAGGCATCGTGTTCTGGGAGTTCCAATGGGCCTGTGAAGCAGGGCTGGAGATGTTGGCAGGGCCAGAGCAGAGCTTGGACCAGGAGTGGGTCCTTGGGCAGTGGGTGATGGATGGCCTGTCGGGGCTGGCTGGGGCTCCAGGTTCTGGGTCGGGGAGGGGCTCCCCTGACAGAGCCTGGACTCTGAGCAGAGGCCCACTCAGCCCTCTGATGCTGATGACATCTTGCTGCTCGGGAGGAATCCTGGAGTCTCAGCTGAGCTCTCAGGGGTGCCAGAGGCCCAGTTGTGTCTGATGCTGGGCTCTAAATGCCCTCTTGGGATCTTCCTCCCACATCTTCTTTCCCAACTGGGATGGGGGTCCCTCTGTCTCCATTTTTCCATCGCACACAATCCCAGCATGTTAGATCCGATAGTGGCACAGAAGTGACTATCAAAGACTAGAATCAGAGAGGCCTGTTGTCAACTTCCAGCTCTGTCGCTTACACGCTGTATGATTTTGGGCAAGTGACTTCACTCCTCCGGGCCTCAGTTTCCTCATCTTGAAAATGGGAGGAGTTGAAATAATGTCCACCCCATTGGGCTGTTGTAAGGGGTTAGTGAGCCAGGACAGGGGAAGCACTGAGCACGGGCAGTTTACGAAGTGGGGTCGCAGCGTCCTTCCTCTCTTCCCCTTAGCCACACTGTTTAATGCAGGCCTGGGCGGGGAGGCAGCAGGGAGAGACACATTGGACCCAAGCTCCTCTGAGCGCACGATTGTTCCAGGACCGTCTTGGGGCCACTTTGTCCTGCGCTTATAAAGCAACTTTTTCCCTGCAAGGTGGCAGAAACTCACCTGTACCTGCTGCTTGGTGGGCAGCAGTGTCCAGGGCCCAGGCAGTCAGCCTGTCTGATCACTTACCGCGAAGGACACGCTGGGAGGATGCAAGGCAGGACCCGGGGGGGCGGTGGGGGCCAGGAGTGCCCAGTGACCCATCTCGACCTCCGTTCACCCTCAACATCCAGCTCCGAGGCCCCCACTGACAGCAGATTTAACTGCCCAGATAGACGGTTTCATTTAAGCGGCAGTAACTGTCAGTCTTGGGCTGACAAATGACACCTCACTGACCACTCGGCCGGCAGAGCACGGCGGCCAGCCCGCGGTGTGTCAGCCACCAGAGAATTACACAGCCTGCCGGCCTTCACAGCCAGACCGATCGGACCCCAGGGGGCTCCAGAGGGGCCCTGCTGGGAGGGAGGTCAGTTCGGCACCCATAAATACGTGGTCTTCGAGGCAGCCTGCAGAGCGCCAAGGCTCCAGGAAGATTTGTGGCAGTCTGGCAGGAGGGATGGATGGCTGATGGGCCCAGCAGACAGGCCAGGCTGGTGGAGACCCCAGGGCTGGGGCTGCAAATGTCCTTGTTCCCAGGGTGGCAAGGAGGCCTGAGGGTAGAGGAGCCTTTAGCGTAGGGAGGGACCTTCGGAAAGTGAAAACCAACCCTCTCTGGTTAAAGGAACCTCTTAGCCACCTGCTTTCTCATGCAGAGGGGCTGGCAGCTATGGCCCTGTGGTTTTCTTTTAAATAAAAAGAGGTGTGTGTGTATGTGTGTGCATGCGTGCGTGCGCGTCCTCATCTGTGTGGGGAGTGTTTTGGAGTTTGGTGTCTTTGTGCATCCATCTGTCCACCCAAGGAAAGCAGTGAGTCAAGACCTGCTTGGCCAAGGGGCAGGTGGGATCCCAGCCAGGCAGCATCCACGGAAGAACCAACAGCAGGTCCACCAGTTCCCACACAGCCCAACGTGTGTTCTTATGTTTTAACCAAAAAAAAGAGAAATTATATTTCCTTCTTCCCAGAACAGGAAATTAGGGTGGAGGATGCATGGTGGACGATGCATGGCCGGATGGGGACTCGAACACAGGGCATGGGGCACCAAAGCCTCAGGGACCATATTGTGGCTCTCTGCCCCTGGCACCCCTATCAGCCCCACCGGGCAGGCCTGCCCCATCCAGGGCAGGGTACAGAGTCTGCTCCCAGGGCTGGGCCAGCCGGGTCACCGTGACCCATCTGCTTTTGGCCTGAAGCGTGGCTTATCTCCTTATTCTACCCCTTATCGCTCCTCCGCCACCTCCCCACCCCCTTGTGCCTTCATTCTGGGCGCAAGGGTGTCTGCTCCTGTGGGCCTGCGAGGGGTGGGGTGCCAAGCCTGGCCCTGTGCGACCACCTGGGTGCCCAAGGTGGGCCTGAGTTTTTCCTGCTGCCAGTGTGACCCCTGGGCAGGCCCCTCCTACCCGGGTCTCAGGAGGTTCCCAGGGTCCCCAGAAGTCCTGGCCGGTAGGAACCCCTGGGCAGAGCCCAGCTGCCTGAAGCCTGAGTGTCACCTCCGGCAAGGCTGTGTTTCCTTATCTGTAATGTGGGCAGAATGTCGGCAGGGCAGGGGTGAGGTGTCCTGTACCGCACTGGGCACCGTGTCTGGTAATAGGTGCTCTCTGAGCCTTGGCTCCCTCCTGGAAACCGCAGCTCCATGGGGGCCGGCACTTCCGTGGAGAGATACGGAGAGATGGCTGAGTCAGCACCTGCCCAGGCCTCAGTCTCTCCTGGACCCAGCCAGGACTGAGCCTGGGGGCCCATGGTAGGGGCTCTGGGAAGAAACTTTTGCTGGGAGCCGGAGGGAGCTCTGGACCCAGAGGTGAGGTGGGGATGGAGGGAACGGGCATAGACCTCCCTCTTCTCCACCACGTGGGCCCGCAGGCCGGTCTGTGTGCCAATTCCTGACTTTTCCCTCTCCTTTTCTCCCCCTCTGTCTGCCTGAGGACACAGGCCCCAGGGAGGCCCCAGGAGAGAAGAGGAACAGAGAGGAGCGGGGAGGCTTCTATCTCCTGTTCATTAGGCTTGGGCCAGCTCCCCTCTGACTGGGAGCCACCCCTAGGTGGGGAGTGGCCCCTCTGAGCCCCTGGCCCCAGGTGGGGAGTGATCCCTCTGCACTCTGTGCTTGTCTTGGGGAGAACTTTGCCATTCATCAGCCACTCTAACCCCTGCTCTGGGGCCCAGAGAAGAGCTGGACACCAGTTCTGCCTCCCCAGATCTCACAGGTATTGGCGAAGACAGAGGCATTTAACTGATGCCATGAGATGTTGCAGATTCTGCATCCAGAGAGTGGGGAGGGCCTTGAGGAAGGAGAGGGATGAGGTAGGGATTTGTAGAGGAGGCAAAGAGCCTGCGAGAGACCAGGAACTCCTGGATGGCAAGGCGGGTGAGTGACAGGTCCTCTTCCACAGCTAGTGGTTAAGAGCGCAGATCTGGAACCAGACAGAGCTGTGTGGCCTCTCTGTTCAGTTTCTTCTCTCTGTCATGCGGGTGGTGACTGGACAAACCTCGCAGGGCTGTAGGGCTGCGGTGGAATGACTGTTAGCTGTCATGGTTTGCATTCGTCAGAGGGCACGGCCCGGGAAGGTGCGCCGGAAGTGTCTGTTGGGTCGCTGGTGGCCAGCTGAGGAGTGGCACAGGCTGAGAGGGATGGGGCTATGTCTGCCCAGGCCCATGTGCAGTGCCCAGTGTGCTTCCGAATACCCAGAAGGGCTCGTTTTGTCACAGTGGAGATTGTGGACCAGGAATGCCAGCCGTGGCCCTGGCCTGGTCCTGCCTCTGTGTGATCCTGGGAGAGTCTCTTGTCCTCTTCGGGTGGCAGATTCTTCAGTTGAAAAATAGGGATTGGGGCCAGGGGATCCCCGGCTCTGCTTCTGAGTCCTGCAGAGTCAAAGGACACTCCAAACAGGGGCTGGCCCTGCCCCTGCACCGAGTGCCTCTGGCCGCAGCCTGGGCATTTGGAATTGGCCCCTTGTCACTGTTCGTTTCTGCTTCAGGTGCCAGGCCATTGCCGCCCCCCTGCTCATGCCCTGGGCCTGACCGCAGGCCAGGTGGGACCTCCCTCCTTCTCCTGAGCCTGAGAGCTCTGCGTAACCCTGGGGGGAAGCGCTTGGTTTCTTCCTCATGGCTTCTGTGTGAGCAGTTGGGGCTGCCAGAGGTGTAACTGACCACAGGTTTTTAAATGCGGACAATGTTAAAATTAATAATAATCTTGCCATGCATTTGTAGGAGTCCTTTGCAGAGTACCTCCATGGACATTAGTCACATGTATGGCGTACCTAACATGTACCGGACTGTCCGCTCAGTACTTTGCCCACTGTACAGATGAGAAAACTGAGGCACAGAAGGTTACCAGGACTTATGTAAAGTTATACCGAAGACAGAGCTGGGGCCTGAAGCCTGGCCCATTCAAGCCCCAAACACCCCTTTGTTAACTGGCCAGACCCCTGTTGCACTTTGATAGCACAGACATTCGGGTGGATGGGCACAGAGAGGTTAACTCGCCCGGGCTGCACGCCCAGTTGGGTCTCAGTGGGAGGAGAAGGGGTTAGAGGAAGGTGGCTGGACCTGGACCCTGGCTGGAGCCCGGCCCCCCGTGTGCCTCTTCCTTCCAGGTTGCCGACCAGATGACACTGCTGCAGAACTGCTGGAGCGAGCTGCTGGTGTTCGACCACATCTACCGCCAGGTCCAGCACGGCAAGGAGGGCAGCATCCTGCTGGTCACCGGGCAGGAGGTGACCAGCCCCTGGGCCCCGCCCCGCCCCTGGGCCCCGCCCCGCCCCTGGGCCCCGCCCCGGCCCCGCTGTGCACTTCCAGGATTCAGGGCCTCGGAGAGGAGGACCCAGGCCTCTCGGGGCTTGCTCTGGGCACCCTGATTATCAGCCCTTTCCCCACATTCATGGGGCACCCACTGGTCTGACCCCTCTGCGAGCAGCCCTGGTCCAGGCTTGAGAGGCGCCGGCTGCCGGGAGCCCTGCTGTTGGGGAGCAGCTCAGGGGGTGTGGGCATGGTCAGAAGAGGTTCGTGGAGGAGGATGTGATGGTGGCCCTGGGTCTGGAAATAATCCACTGGAGTTGGCTGGGGAATAAGCGATGAGGGGGGCAGTCCTCACCTCCACCACAGGCTCAGAGAGGGTGGAAGCGTGGAGCCCCCAGGCCCTGCTGGTGCTGGTATGGGGTGGCATGAGGTGACAGACCAGGGAGGCTGGAGGGTTGCTAGGGCTGGGTTAGCGGACAAAACCTTGCAGGCCCTAAATCTTGAATGAATGAATGAATGAATGAATGAATGAATGAATGAATAGGCAAAGGGCTCCTGAGAGCTCAGAGAATTTGGGCCCCTTAGAGCAGGAAATGAGGATCTGGGAAGTAGAAAGTCCAGATGCAGCAGGGGTCCAGGGAAAGCTTTAGGAGGAGGAGGGACATGGCCAGGTAGCATCTGAGGAGGCAGGCGGAGGGGTCAGATGGGAGGTAGGGGCCAGGGCAGGGACACAGGGACACAGCCAGGGAGGAGGACTCACCTGGGGAGACGGGCTGTAGGGAAAGAGAGGGAGGGAGGGAGGCAGAGATGGGGGTTGATGGCAAGGGTCCAGCCTGCTGGCAGGAGCGTCACTCCCAGGTGGGGACACAGGAGGGACCGTGGGGTCGGTGGGTGCTGTGGGGTGGGGGAGACAGACTCTGCTCACTGCTCCAGCGCCCCCAGGCCCCTGCTCCTCATCTCCAGCTCTCGCCTTGGTGTCACAGGCCATCAGGGGCAGGAGGACAGGACGGGCAGCACTGGTCCCAAGAGGGTATATCTGGGGCTCCCTGTGGGCGCAGGTGCCTGCAGTCTGCATGCGGTGTGAGTGTCGGCAGGCCGGCTGAGTCTCTGTGGCCATGGGAATGGCCTGTGTGTGTGTGCCTGCCTGTGTTTTATTGTGCAAAATCTCCACACACATCAGTGTGTGGGTGTCACTGTCTTCCCATCAACCTGTAATTGTGAACACATACATGGGCGTGTGTGTTGCTGTAAGTGTGAGCATACAAGGGCGGGTGTGGCCGTGTGCACATGTGTGTGCCTTCACTTCACGGAGTGGGCGACCCCATGACTGCGCTCGTGTGTGTGTGTGTGTGTGTGTGTGTGCGCGCGCGCGTGAGACTCTGGGCTGAACTGTGACCCAGCATCTAGGTGTGAACGTAGGGGTTCTGGGCAGCCACGTGGATGTGTCTGTGTGTCCCTGCACAGCCCTGCCTTCCCCTGACCCCTCCCCTCCCAGCATGTAGAGGGGCCCTCTGAACTGCTGGTGCTACCGGGCCTGGTGCTGGGGTTTGTGTGTGAAGGAGGGGTGGACGCGGGCAGGACGTGGGTACCCTCAGTTCCGGGCCTGGCGGGTTGAGGACAGCTCGGAAGGGTGGGCCCGGCAGGGTCCCCGGGGCTGCACAGGTGTCACCTGTGCCTGGCTCAGTGCCAAGGCTGGGCCCTCCTGACCCCAGCCCATCTGACCTGCACCTCCAATCCATGCCCTCAGCCCTCTATCCACCATCAGAGAGCCCCCTGCCTGGACCCACGTCCTCTGACTGTCCCCCACCCCGTGCCCTCTGTCCCCAGGTGGAGCTGACCACGGTGGCCGCCCAGGCGGGCTCGCTGCTGCACAGCCTGGTGTTGCGGGCACAGGAACTGGTGCTGCAGCTGCTCGCACTGCAGCTGGACCGGCAGGAGTTTGTCTGCCTCAAGTTCATCATCCTCTTCAGCCTGGGTGAGTGCGGCTCCAGTGACAGAGAGGCGGAGACAGCCAGGGGCGGGCGGGTGGGAGGGTGGGTGAGGCTGGAAAGGTAGCCCTGCTATGGCCAGAGTGGCCACGAAGGAGCCTCAGGGGAGAAAGGCCCCTCCCTTACTCATTCAGTGAACAAAGGTCTGAGGGCCCCCGGCCAGGGCCTGGCTCTTAAATGGGGACGGCTCCCCATCTGGTGGCCCATGTGACTTTGGGATTGGTATTCCAGGCTCCTGGGGTCCCTGTTTTCTCTAATTCCTGGATCTAGGGGGCCCTAGTTCTGACTGTAGCTCCTGGGGGCCCGGACCCCTTTGCCCATGCACGCATGCATCCATTCATTCACTCTACAAACAGGCACCGAGCAATTGCACCGGAGAAGGCACTGGGAATACCGCTGTGAGCAAAACCCCCAAAGCCCAGCCGTCGTGGTGCTGACCTTCTCTAGGGGGGATCATGACCATAATACGATTAGGAAGACGTAGGTTCCTAACACGATTAGGCAGGCATAGGGGGACAGTTGTGACCAGTGCTAAGGAGGAAAAGAAAGTGGAGGAGAGGCAGAGAGCAGTCCTGGCCCAGTGCAGCCCGGCCACCCACCCCACTCCCCAAGCACTGGGGGGGTCTCCCTCCCTTTGCCCTCCTGACCCCAACCCTGCCTGGGCACTCCAGTCTGCACCCTCACTCCCTGGCAAGCCGTCACCAATGCCCTCCCCATACTTGGCGATGCTGAGGACATAGCTGTCCCTTGCCAATCCGGAAGAGACCTGCAGCCTGGGTGGTTAGGCCTGAGACAGAGAGATGGGTGTGGCTTGGGGAACCCTGGGTGGGGAGCAAGAGCTCTTTCTGGAAGGCTTCCTGGAGGACGGACATCTGAGCAGGGTTTTGGAGGATGAATAGGAGTTTTCTGGGGGATGAATGATTTTGCAGTGATGCAGATGGGATGGAATAGAGATGAGTGAGTGCTTCATCACCTGGAGAGGGGGCAGGATTAAGATATTGTCTTGGTGGCTGGCATTATAGTCACAGTCTGGGAAGGGCGTGCCTGCCAGAGAGAGGGAGGAGTGGGGAGTGTTGCGGAGGCAGAGGGGATTAATGAAAAGTGGGAAGCCCAGTGCTCGGGCGGGATTGGTGACATCCTCCATGCTATGCGGCTGGGTGCGGTGGGCTGGGTCTCCCAACTCTGGCAGAACAGGCTGGTAACTGGAGGGCTTATCTGCAAGGCCACCTTAAGCCACCTCTCAGGACACCAGCCAGGGCTCTGCAGGAGCTATGGCCTGAAATCCTTGCAGGAGCCTCAGGGGCCCAGACCCGGTTGGCTGCAGCTGGGGAAGCTCCCTCCTACCTCTGCCGGCAGCAGCACCTTACCCGCAGCCTGCCAGACTCAGCAGGCTGGCACAGGATAGAGTCACAGACATGCGTGGTGGGGGTCTGTGTGGTTGGGGCATGGAACCTGCAGGAATTACGCGAACGTCTGTCTCTGTTTCCGTGCATGTGTGTGTGCTGGCATGTGCAAACGACGAACTTTCACACGCTTGTGGTTTCTTAAGTGTTAGGCTGTGTGAAGAGTTTGTGTGTGATTGGGGAGGGACCAGGAGATCTGGGAACATGAGGGATTTGTGGCGGAGAGTGGTGCTTGGAGGCACCTAGAATTGGAGTGTGTGTCCGCAGGAGTCTGGGTGGTTTGTAAGGTGAGAGTTCTTGACCTGGCTGCCATCACAAGGCCACTGGGAGGGCCCTAAGGAGGGGTGGGTGGAGGGTGGGCTCTGTCTGTCCTTGGGTGTCCCCTGAAAAGCAGGGACAGTGTCTTGGCCCCCAGCCCCTCTTCCCACCAAAGCCCTGGGCATAGCTCTGGCCGCCACTGGGGGTGAATCCAGGACTCCTCCTTCTCTGGGGCTTAAGGAAGATGGCAGAGCTGATCGCTCTTCTCTTGGGTCCAAGTGTGGGCGTGCAGCAGCTGAGGCCTGAGAGGTGGGAGAGGCTCCAGTGCTGGGCTGGGACAGGCTGAGTTGCGGGGAGAAGGGTGTGTGTGTGCGCATGCGTGCTGTGTGTGTGAGAATCAAGGTGGCACAGTGCTTAGGAAAGGGAACTAGGTAGGGATGAGGAGTGGATTCTAAATCTGGCCTCTGGTCTCTTTCTGGCTGTGTGCCCTTGGGCAAGTCACTCCCCTCTCTGAGCCTCTATTTCCCCATCTGTAGAGTGACCCTCCTACTAATCCCTAACTTGTTACAAGGATTGAGTAAGAGAATTCCCCAAAGTGCCCAGCGCTTGGCTGAGCCCTGGGAAGTATGTGCCAGAATTGTTTTAATCATAATCACCATTATTAAGTTAGTGTGCATATGCATAAGTGAATGAATGAAGTGAATGAATGCTCACAGTCTCTATCATTATCACCGGCTGTGTGTCTGGCACAGTGCCTTATCTTTCCGCACAGGAACATGAGTCTGGCTGATGTGGGTGGGTGAGCCCTGAGCCCAGCAAGCCAGGAACCTGGTGAGGTTGGGGGTACCAGAGGAGGAACGGAAGGAGATTCCAGGACCCCAGCTGATGGCAAGCAGTGAGAAAGGGGTGTGGGGGGCCACAGCGGCCTTTGGCTGGCCAGCTCCAGGTTGGAAGAGGAACCCCATCAGTTCAGTGTGATCAGGGTTGGGTCAGAGAGGAGAAACCAGCACCACCTGGCTATCAGGGAAGGCTTCTGGGGGGTGGGGGCTCTGAGCTGGGCTTAGCAGTATGAGTAAGAGCATTCTGGGTCAAAAAAAACAAGCGGCGGCCGGGCGCGGTGGCTCAAGCCTGTAATCCCAGCACTTTGGGAGGCCGAGACGGGCGGATCACGAGGTCAGGAGATCGAGACCATCCTGGCTAACACAATGAAACCCCGTCTCTACTAAAAATACAAAAACATTAGCCGGGCGTGGTGGCGGCGCCTGTAGTCCCAGCTACTTGGGAGGCTGAGGCAGGAGAATGGCGGGAACCCGGGAGGCGGAGCTTGCAGTGAGCCCAGATCGTGCCACTCACTCCAGCCCGGGCGACAGAGCGAGACTCTGCCTCAAAAAAAAAAAAAAAAAAAAAAAAACAAGCGGCATTAATGGCTTTCCAGACTCAAGGAACAGCTTGTGCAAAGTTCCGGGAATCCTGAAAGTTCTGTGTGGCTGTAGGGGTGGGGACGGGGTGGGGAGGAGGCTGGCGAGGGGACAGGAGCTGAGCTGGGCAAAGCCTTGAATGCCAGGGCCTGGTACCTTGAACTTTCTCTTGGGAAGGACTTGAAGCAGCCAGCAACATGATGAAATTTGCATTTTATCAAGATCCTTCTAAGTGCAGCATGGGAAAACGATGGCAGGCAGGTAGCCCAGAGCCATGGCAGAGGCTAGACCTGGAGCTGGGCTGGAGCAGATTCCAGGGTCTGGAGCAGAGGGCTCCTCTCCTGATCCCACCCAGACCACCAGAGCTGGGGCTCCAGGGAAACTGGGACCCGGAGAGGGACCGCCGCTTGCCAGCAGACCTCCAGCTGGCGCGCAGGGCGTCCCCTTCGGTGGCGGCTCCGCCCTGGGCCGGACAGCCTGGCTGTGAGTGCTGGTGTCCCTCCACCCGCCCCACCGCCCCACCGCCCCACCGCCCCACCGCCCTGCGGCTCACTCAGCGCCTCCTTCGCGCCTGCCTCTGCATAAGGGTGCCATTTGGTGTCTAAATAGCCGTCTCGGGAGGGCGCGGAGGCAGGTAAGGAGGTTTAATTAAAATTAGTGCCTCTCTCCTGGCAATCACGGTATTTATGAAGATGGGCCCGGCTGGCATTGTTCTGCCGAGGACTTAATCGAAGCTTAATGGATTGACCTAACATTCGATTTCCTGACTTCCATTGAGGCGGCGGCAGCAGCATTCCCTTAAGCGTTTGCAATTTACCCACTGCTCCGCGCCAACAAAAGGCGGCCTGAATAGCAGCCCCACTCGAGGGGCCATTGTGCGCGGGGGCGCCTGCCTGAGTTACCGCTATTGGGACAACATTCTTTATGCCTCGCTGGAATGAAAGGATTATTCAAATATTCAATTAAACCATGAAAAGGGGGCTTTTCTGAGAACCTGGGGGCCCCCAGCTCTGCAGAGCTAGCGGGCTGCTCTCCGAGGTGGGGGCGCCATCTCCCAGCTCCCTCCCACCTCCGCCTCCGCGAGTGCTGGGAGCTGAGCGGGCTTGGGGAGCGCAGGCTCCTCTCCAACATGCCCGTCTCCACCCTTCGGGTGCCTGGGGCCCAGAGCTGGGCATGCAGATGAGAGCCAGCCCCTGGCCACCCTGTGAAGCAGAGATGAATTTGCCCCTGTCGTGCAGATGACAGGAAACTGCAGCTCAGAGAGGGGAAGTGACTTGCCCAAGGTCACCCAGCTGGTTGTAAAGCTGGGATCTGAACCCCTGACACATGAAGGGGGCGTCTCCAGGTTTGTTTGACCCCCGCTCCCGTGTCTGCTGGAAGAACGGTGTGGTGTTCTGTGGGTTGCTGGCACCGTCACATCTGTTATCCGCTGGAATCTTCACAATGATCTCTTTAGGGACTGGGAGTCCAGGGAGGCTTGGGAAAGGGGAGTGACTTGTACAAGGTCTCCAGGTGAGGAGGAAGTCAGGTGTAGAGTCCAGAGTAGCCTCTCTGGGGGAAACCTGGGACCCCAGGGGTGGGGGCTCTTGGACAGGACTCATGGATTGCATGGGACATAAAGTTATGTCCAATCCCATAGGAACAGGCATCCCAGCTTGACCCAGCTCCTGGGCAGGGGGCCCTGGTCCTGCTTGCCTATCCTGGGAGACTTGGGCTTTGGTGTCAGAGAGACTTGGGTTTCTTTTTGTTTTCTCTTCTTGAGACGGAGTCTCGCTGTGTTGCCCAGGCTGGAGTGCGGTGGCGCGATCTTGGCTCACTGCAAGTTCTGCCTCCCGGGTTCACGCCATTCTCCCGCCTCAGCCTCCGAGTAGCTGGGGCTACAGGCGGCCGCCACCGTGCCCGGCTAGTTTTTTTTTGTATTTTTAGTAGAGACGGGGTTTCACCATGTTAGCCAGGATGGTCTCGATCTCCTGACCTCGTGATCCACCCGCCTCGGCCTCCCAAAGTGCTGGGATTACAGGCTTGAGCCACCGTGCCCGGCCAAGACTTGGGTTTCAATCCAGACTCTAGCACCTTGTGTATCTTCAGGGGTCCTTGGTTCCCTGAGCCCTGGGGATGCACTGCCCTGCCTGTCTGGATGTCTGCTGAGATGAACTGAGCTGGGTGCAAGGTGTCGGGGGGGTGCCCAGGAAACTGGATCTGGGCTTCTGGACTGTAGCCGCTGACACTCCCTTAGCGACTGTGCTTCCCTCCCCCAGCCCTGTGGCTGACCTCTCTGGGGCAGTGGGGGTTTCCAGTCTGCCAAGAGCTGGGAGGCCAAAGAACTACTGGGGGTGGGGGCGTCCCTGAAACCTGTCCTCCTTCTGCACCCACCCCCGCACCCCGCTTCGGTGTCCCTAGCGCAGTGCTGCTGAGAACAGTAAATCCCGGTAAAGCCGAGGCCCTGGTCTTTCTTTCCCAGCCCCCGCTTGCCCCTGCCCCTACTGTGGCGTCCTGGCCAGTCCTCCCTCCTCCAGCTGCTTCCTCCAGGACCCTTTACTGATGTGTAGCCTTGAGTTGGTCCCTGTCCCTCTCTGGACCCCGATTATGAATTGTCAGAAGAGAATGTCAGGAGACTTGCTCAGCCCGGGACAGCGGGGAGTGAAGGCAGATGGGATGGGGATGGGGCCAGCAGGAGCCCAGCTAGGTGGCATGACTTCCCATGACCTTTGAATATGTCTGGGGCAGGCCGGGCTAGGGAGTAGGGCTGCTCCATACAGTTGGGCAGGTCATTCACTGCACAAGAGCACCTGGGCCAGGAGGCATTGGGGTGGATATAGCAGTATCTCTCTGGACAAGGGGGAACTTCCATGTAGTTGACATAAAGGTGCCTTAAGGGTTAATGGTGACCCTGGGGAACTGATCACTTCAGAAGGGAGGATGAGGAGCTGGGGCTGGGGTGGGAGGATGGAGGCCAGGTCCTGCCATCCGCCCCCAGGCCCAGCTCGGGTTTCCCTAAATCCGACTTTGGACAACACAGGCCTCAGCAGGCGCGCTGGGGGCGGCCAGGGATCAGGGTTGCCAGGAGCGTGGCGCTCTCCTGGCGCAGAGGGTGTTAAGGGGGATTAGGGGGCCAGGGCTGCACATGCTGCCTCTGGACACCCCCGCAGCTGCAGGGCTGGTGGTGATGGGGTGGAGGAGAAGTGGGTGGATGACCATTTTCTGAGCCACTGGTCACCCCCATCCCAGGCAAGGTCAGGCTTGCATCAGATGATTTTGAGGCCTGGGGACAGATTCTGTGAGTTCCTGCTGACCCTGCGCCCCCAGGCTGGGCACCTGCTAGAAATGCTGCCCAGGAGCTGAACGAGGACTGCAAGCTGTGACAGGAACTTGGATGACAAGAAACTGACCCAGACTCTCCCTCTCCAGGGAGGAGGAAGGCTGGTCAAGTCAAGTCAGGGCAGGGAGCACTGCACCTCAGCGGCGGCTGGGATTTGAACTCACGTCTGTCTCACTCCAAAGACATTTTGCTTTTTGTCTCTTCACGGCACCTCACCTCGGGTGTGGGGGACACATCAGTTGCACTCCTCTGTTTAATCACTGGTGCACGCAGAGCCACACCCCTCCACCCCTCCCCAAAAGGAGCCCTTCCTTGATGTTTAATGCGGGTCGTCCTGTTTGCCCCTATCTTCCCACAAAGCACATCTGCTTTGTGTACAAGCTTTATTTTATTTGTTTGTTTGTTTATTTATTTATTTATTTATTTATTTATTCCTTCAGAGACAGAGTCTCCCTCTGTCGCCCAGGCTGGAATGCAGTGGTGCAGTCTTGGCTCACAGCAACCTCCGCCTCCTGGGTTCACATGATTCACCAGCTTAGCCTCCCAAGTAGCTGGGATTACAGGCACGCACCACCATGCTTGGGTAATTTTTTTGTATTTTTAGTAGAGATGGGATTTCACCATGTTGGCCAGGCTGGTCTCAAACTGACCACAAGTGATCCACTTTGGCCTCCCAAAGTGCTGGGGTGACAGTCATGAGCCTCTGCGCCTGGCCAACAAGCATTTCTAATTTATGTACATGGTTGAGCTTTATTGATCTTGTCCTGACCTCCCTCTGTGATTTTTGTTTTCCACTCAGTCCCAGGCTTTTAAAGACATGTCCCTTTGCCCTGCGTTGTGTGGGCTTCCTGACTTCTGCCTACTGCACGCGACTCCTTGGGGTGCAGCCACCATGTGGCCATCCAGGCCACCTCCTCGCCACCACGAGCAGAGATGGCCCCTGACTCATGAGCTTTGGCTTAGGATTTTTTGACTTTATGGTCCTGCAGAAATCGAAAAACATGCAATCGGCAGAAAGCGTGCTTGGAGTACCCACATAATCCCTTCTGTTTTGCGTTTTCAGCATGGTGTTCAGTAAACTCTAAGAGATGTTCAACGCTTTATTGTAAAATAGGCTTGTGTCAGATGATTCTGGCAACTCTAGGGTAATGTGGTCTGAGCACATTTAAGGCAGGCCAGGCTATGATGTGCAGCAGGTCAGGCGTAGTAAGTGCTTTTTGGCTTACGATATTTTCAGCTTGCAATAGGTTAATCAGGATGTCAACCCATCTGCACTCCTGCAGTAAATGCGCATGTTCCCCCATGGCCTCATGAGAGTCCTTCCCCGGGGTACTGGATCCTCTCTATTGGTCATAGGGGAGACTAAAAGAACATGCCAGCTGTCCACTAGAATGGGGCCACCAGTCGTCATGCGTTGCAGCATGAGATGGGATCCTCCCACCCACAGGGCACCTCTGTGGGCGCGGTGATGATGGGGTGACAGTAGTGATGGTGGCAGAGTGGGGATGCGGATGGCAATGGTCATGGAGATGAGGCATCAGTGATGATGGAGACAAGATGGCTTTGATCGTGCCAGGGGGATGGTGTTGGTTATGGCAGCAATGGTTGGCCATGACGGCGGTGAGAGCAGCTCCCGTTGTGATGGCATTATTGTGGTGCCAGCTAACCCAACCCACCGAGCTTCTCACATGCCAGACACTGTTCATCAGAGCACTTTGCACACAGCCGCTCCCTAAAGTTTCAGGACAATGTTGTGAAGTTGGTACTGTCATCACCCCCATTTTACAGATGGGGAACCGAGAGGTTCAATAACTGCCCAGGGATCCTCCCAGGGAGGCTGGTGATGGGCTTCATGATTCTTGTTCATTGTGACCACAGTGGTGATGATGATGGCAGTGATGGTGGTGACAGGTGACTGTGGGTGGTTGATGGTGGCGGTGGCCACGTTTATGAAAAACACAGGCATGTGGGTATTGGTGACGATGGTGGTGTTTGTCAACCAGGGTGACAACAACGGTGATGCCGACACGGTGACAATGGGGAGACCATGTTGCATGGTTGATGGTGGCAATGCCCGTGTCTTTGGTGGTCGTAGGGAAGGTGGTATTGGTGATGCTGGTGACGGTGTTGGCCCAGTCCTGATGGGCATGGCTGGTGATGCGATGGTGACCGAGAGCCTACCTTTGCAGATTTGAAGTTTCTGAATAACCACACCCTGGTGAAGGAAGCTCAGGAGAAGGCCAACGCCGCCCTGCTCGACTACACCCTGTGCCACTACCCGCACTGCGGGGACAAGTTCCAGCAGCTGCTGTTGTGCCTGGTGGAGGTGCGGGCGCTGAGCATGCAGGCCAAGGAGTACCTGTACCACAAGCACCTGGGCAACGAGATGCCCCGCAACAACCTGCTCATCGAGATGCTGCAAGCCAAGCAGACTTGAGCCTGGGCCGGGGGCGGGGCCGGGACTGGGGGCGGGACTGGGGGCGGGGCCGGGGCGGGGCCGCAGCCACTGCCGCTGGCTCCACATGGTTCATTTTCTGATGCCCACGCAGGAACCCCAGCCCCCTCCCAAAGGCCGCTGCCCCTGAGTTCTGACACTGTGTTTGGGAAGGTGGGTGAGGCTGGGCAGGGCTTGGCGGAGGTGGGGTGGCCACTGGCACTTGCCTGCTACTTGGAGTGCCCCAAGGAGGTGGCTGTTAACCACCCCCTCCCCCGCCCCCTGGCTCCCAGCTCTCTCCTGGAGTCTGAAGCCTGCAGGTCCGGGGAGGAGGTTCGGGATTCCCTGGTGGGCCTCGATGTCCCTTGGATCAGAGGTCATCCCTTCCTCCTCTCCTGAAAACAGAGACAGGGAGAAGTTGAGCAGGTATCAACTGGGGGAGGAGAGAGGGTCTCCAATGTTCCCCCCCATAGAGACCAGGAAGGAGATCCTCTGTTTTGTAAACTAAGGATAACCGAGTTTGCTAAATTGAGAGGGGCTATTGGGCCCTAGAGGACACCAGGAGACTGGTTAGGACAACAGGACCTCCCTAGCCCTTCTACCCCAGCTGACCTCTGCAAGAGGGAGCGTTGATACATTATCAGGGAAAAAACTTTGCTCCAGGCATCCCTGATTCCCTCTCCCACCTGGAGAACGTTTGGTACAATCGACATCCTAGCCCCACCCAGAGGTGGCCCTCCCAGGCTGGTATTTATCTGCAAGGTTGTAGTCAAGAGGTTTTTTTCCCCCCTTTTTTTTGTTTTTAAGCTTCTAGACACTCCTTGAAAGGTGTGTGTGATGGAGGGAAGGGGACAGAGTTGAGGACTGAAGCTGGGGCTTGGGGATTGCCACTAAGTACAGCTGATGGTTTCTCCCCAGACACTTGCCTACCAAGTACCCTTGGGGTGGTGCTGGGTCATTACTTCTGAGCCCCAGCCCCAATCCAAAGAAGCGCTGTTGCCCACCCTCCACCCACCAGGTGAACAGCAGGACGCCCTGTTGGGGGCTTCAAGTCTCTGTGGGTGGGAATGCAAGTGAACTTGGGAGGGGGCATGGGCCTGTAGATCAGGGAAAGCGCTGTTGATCCCCTTTCTGTGGCTCCAACCCGTTGCTGCAAACCCATGAAGCTGGCCCTCAGCTCCCTGGCCTCCTGCCCTAGGTCATGAAAGACACTCCCCAGGGCAAAGCACCAGGGAGAGGCCTCAGTTGTCTCCTGTCCCCGGCTGGGTGCCTGCTGTCTCCTGTCCCCGGCTGGGTGCCTGCTGTCTCCTGTCCCCGGCTGGGTGCCTGCTGTCCGTCCCGCTTTCATGTTACTGTTGCAGCTTATGCTGAGCCTGCCCAGTTGGAGGAGACTGGACACCCCTGCCTCCTGCCTCCTGCCTCCCACCACCCTGTCTCAGTCCCCACCTCTGCCCCCTGAAATGTGTGCCCTTGCCAAGGCCGGAGACCCACAGCCCTGAAACGAGAAGTGCCCTTAAGAATCACCCCAGCCCCCGCAGCCCTGGAATAAATTTTGCAATTAGTTTCCAGCTACTTTTGCCTGTTTACCTTCTGGGGCCAGAGCAGAATGGCTCGGGTGGTTCTGGGTGGTCTAGGGTGGGGCAGCACTCTGACTCGGATGGAGGTGGCACGCAGACCCTCTTTGGTTCAAAACTCTGAGGAGGCAGGTGGGCTGCGGGGCTGGGTGCGGGGACACGAGGCACTGTTGGGGTTTGGGCCCCACCTCATCCCTGGCACCCTGAGGCACTGGGAGACCCAGGGGGTGCTGTGGCTTCTCTACCTGTTGTACCCTGGCCATGCAGGCTCAGCCCCCATCTTGGGGCAGAAGGAGCAGTCATTTAAGGGGCACCTGCTGTGTGTCACCCTCATCTCACTGTCCCTGTTGCATCCCTGTGAGGCAGGGGTTATACTCTAGGAGGGGAAGGCACTTGCCAAGGGCCCATGAGCCACAGACCTGGGAGACCAGACCCCTCAGAGCCCTGCCCTTTCCTGTCTGCCCCACCACATCCCTCACAGATTCCTCCCTGGCCCCACGTGGTGGCGGCAGTGAGCACTGCCACCATCTGAGGCTTCCTCCACTCCAGGACCCCTGCCCAGCGCTTCCCGCCTCATCTGGTCACACTGACTGCTGTTTGAAGCCACTTCCGTAGGTTACAGATGAGGAAACTGAGGCACAGAGGGCCTAAGCAGCTTGCCCAAGGTCACACAGCTAAGAGGGGCACAGCCACAGTACAAAGCTCCATCGTCCTGATCCATTTTTATCAACTTGACTAGTTCATGTCCAGGGTCACCCTCAGCCTCCCGATGCTTCATGCAAATTAGAAAAGCATGTCCCCTCTAGGGTGATGTAGCCCTAGGCACACAGCTTGGCAGTGGCTTTTATGCAAAGAAAAAGGTGTCCCTCTTCTTCTTGGCACCTGCAGATGCCCTAGTTCCTGCCCTGGGCAATGTCTAGTCTTGTAGGTGGAGACTATCTTAAACTAGACTGCAGTCTGATGTGATACTTCATATGACTGAGACAGACAAGATGAGGAAGTGATTGACCTTGCTCCTGGGAGAGATGGGGGGGTCTTCAGAACAGGAAGACTTTGTAGTAGAGGTGTCATCCAAATTGGGTTTTGAAGGATGCCCAGGAGTTCACCAGCTAGATAGGAGGTGGGGACAGTTCAGGCAGAGGGAACAGTGTGAGCAGGATGGAGGGGTATCAGCGGCTGTGTTTGGGGACCTAGGAGAAGTTACTCTGACTGGAGAGTAAAGAGAGGCTGTGTGTAGGGGACAAGGGGGATATGGAATGGAGGAAGGTGGGGGATGGGAAGGGACCCCTTGGTCCCACATTTGTCCCCTCCCCCACAGCCCATATGATGGGTTTTTGAGGTGACAGGAGCCCATTGAAGGTGAGGGTGCTGAGATGCAGGTGGTTGGGGGGCCACCAAGTGCCCTGCCTGCCTCCTTGCTGCCCCTTCAGGGTCCCGCCCCTTTTGTCCCCGTTGAGGATAGAGTGCCGCACTTGGCCCAGTGTTCCCAGCACACGGCAGGGGCTCTGCTGGCCCCACAAAGCCATGCTGTCTTCTCTCTGGACTGCCTCCCCAGTCTGGCGCCTTCAAGGCCTTGAACCTCCTCTGGGCCACAGGCTCTGGCCCCCACAGCCCAGGCCACAGCTGACTCGGGCCACAGCTGACACTTTCTGAGTGCTTGCTGAGGGCTGTGCCAGGAACCAAGTGCAGGACTGTGCGGACCCCTCGCATGGCCCGTTGGGTGGGTATGATGTCCCCCATTCGACAGAGGACGGATGGGCATGGAGAGGCTATACAACCATCCTCAGCAAGAAGCACCCGGGCCCTGTACCTGTGTGGGTGGGGCCAACACCCTGGACAGATTTTGTCCCAGACTCAACCCAGGCAGGGTCCAGCGTGGAAGCTGGAGGCCCCTGGGAGCTATGCATGCCTCACTGGGTCCCATCTGCTTCTCATCCAGCCCCGCCCCACCTCCCGGGAGCTGCTTGGAGGTCCTGGCTATGCCGTGTCACCTGTCACCTGGCCCCAACAGGATGTGAGCCAGGTTGGCGTCAGCAGGACAGTGTTGGCTGCCTGTGTGCCTCCACTCCCAGAGCCTGGGCCCTCATTTCCCTGCCGCCAGCCTTGGGGTCCACCCTGGAACCAGGCCTGGTGCAGAGCCCTCACATCCCTGCTCCCCTCCCTGCCCTGAAACGCATTCTACCGAGAAGAGACCGAGATTCAGAATGACCTTACCCACAGCCACACAACTGTGGTGGCAGGTCCTGGTCCCATGGTGTGACTTGGAGGTGTCCAGACTAGCAACTTACCTGCGAGCTGTCTGCCTGGGTGGCTCCCACTCATGCCAACTGTCACCCCTGCCACCTCTGCTACAGGGCCTGGGAGACCCCAGGCCTGAGTGGTCTGAGCCTGTGTCCTCCTCTGCACAGCAGGAGTGACGGTGGCTCAGCACGGCAGTGAGGACCCGTGACTCTGAGGTGGTAAAGGGCTCAGCACCGTCCAGTGATACAGCAAGCGCTCATAAATGCTGGCTGCGCCTACCCTGATGATGAGGCTGACGCCCTGGAGTCCCAAAGCCAAGTGGCAGCTTCTCTGGCTTCCTCCCTCCTCCCAGAGGGCCCGGTGTCCTCTCCCTCTGCCCAGGCCAGGACGACTCCCAGAGGACAGGAGAACCCAACAATTCTATTTATTACCAGACACCGCAGCGCCCCTTGGAACTTCGGGGCAGGTGGGAAGGAGCAGATCACAGACAGGCAAAGAGTGGGGGAAAGAGCCTGGGGACCTGGTGGGTTAGGGGAGCAGGGGGCTGAGGCCCACACTCCTTTAGGAAAAGTCAGAGGCTGAGGCCGCCGGAGCAGGGGCCGCTGTTGGCTCTCAGGGACTCCCGCTGCGCCCTTCTGGGGTCTGGGGTCCCAGCAGAGCTGAGCTGGGCAGGGTCTGGCGACGAGTTTCCCAGACACTCCCTAGAAACCTGGTGGGAAAGTGCGCCCTTGGGCTGGGCTGGCAGAGGATCCTGGTGGAGAACCCGGGGATGGATGGGCTCTGGGAACTGAGGCTGGGGGAGACCCTGGCCAGTCCTCGCTGGCTGTGAGTCAGTTTCTCCATCCTCGGAACACCCGCATGCCCCGAGGGCTCCGCGGCCTTTCAGGAGGGGCGGTGGCGGCCCCGTGTGGGACACAGCCTGGCAGCCCCCGCTGCCCCGCGCCTTCACAACTCCGGCCGCTGAGTGGCCTGCGGGGTGGGGTCGGGACTGGAAGTGGAGGCGTCCAGAGAGCCGGGCCGGGTGGGGGGTCCGGAGGGTGGGGCCCAGGTGGAAGCGGCTCCGTTGCTACGAGCGGCCCTAGCAACGCACCCATTCAGCGGAGACAAAGGCGCTGTCACTTGAGCGCAGAGGCGCCGCCGCTCTCTTGTTCCTGCAGCCGCGGCGCCCGCGGGTGGGGGTGGGGCGGGTGGGGGAGGGGCGCTGGCCCCGGGGGGCGTCTGGGCGGGCCTATGGGGGGCGCCTCCAGCCCATTCTGCAGAAGGGGAAGCTGAGGCTCTCCGGGACTGAGATGCCAGCCGGGGATGGGGGCTGGTCGGGGCCTGGGATCCCACGGACCCGGGTTCACGTGGCCCTACGTTTACACCCGTGTGGCTACTGCTGTGCCTGGAGTCCCCCATCCGCGCCAGTGGGGGCCTGGCCCTGGCTCTGTTCGGGCTCTGGCTAGCGGCGGCGCCTTTCTGTGCCTCAACTTCCTCATCCGCGCAATGGGTGGAGAAAGGCACCTCCACTTCCCCCTCACTGGCTCAGAATCAGCAGGTGCCTGGGCTGAGCACTGAGCCTGCCCCTGGGAGGAGCCTGGTAAACAGGGCTCTTGCCTTGACTGGAAACAGTCGCCTGGCCGAGGCTGGGGCCGTGTGGGTTTCAGATGGAAGGAGTGTTCCCCCGAGGGAAGCGACCAGCGGGCAGGGTCCCCATGGCTCCCCTGGGCCCGGCTGAGCTCCCCAGGCTTCAGTCCTCTCCCTGAGCCGGACCTGGGGTGTCCTCACCCTCCCACAGTCCCCCCTGCCACTGCCCAGCCCCTGTCATGCCCCCATCAGCTGGTGACCTGCAGCCTTGGAGGAAAGCACTTGTGCCTCAGCGGATTTGGAAGGCTCTGGGTCCTAGGGCATCAGGCCGGAGCCCTCAGAGGGTGAGGGGGGGTGCTGGACTTGGGGGGCAGAGAGAGGGGAGGACAGAGGGAGGCAGGCTGTGCTCCTTGGCAGCGCCCGCTCAGACTAGGGTTCCATGACCTACTCTCTAACGAAGCCCTCCCAAGGGGTACTGCCTGGTCCCCGACAGGCCCCCAGTGCTCCCAGGGGACCTGTGGAGTGAGGGGAGGGCCTCTGCAATTGTGGGAGGTTGGGTATATTGATTTCAAATCACTTCCATCCTGGTACAGGGGGGCTTAGCGGGTGTCCTGGCCCAAAAAGAAAAGAGGGGACCCGCTGAGGTGGGGACTGTACCTGAAGCTTTGAATGCTGTCAGTTCCACAGCCTGAGGACAGAGGGGCTGTCACAGGGGTGGCTCCCACTCCTTCTGCTGCCCCTTGCCCTGGGGATCCTTGGCTATAGGGGCCTCTGCCAGCTTGCGGCCAGCAGCTCCCCCTCCCTGGGCCCTTCAGCCCAGGAACAGAGAAACAGATCCTAGGGAAGCCCCCATCCCGGCCCTACCCAGGCCCTGTGGCTTCCTGACCCTGCCTGCTGGCCTTGCCAGCCCCCTAGCAGAGCCCTGTGTGACCCACGCTGTCCCAGCCTCACCTGTCTCTCCGGGTTTGCAATGGAGGAGAAAGCTGAGGGGGTTCTAGGGCCATAGGTCCCTAGTGAGGAAAATGCAAACTTTTCAGAGATGAAGGCAGGGGGAGCTCTCTCTGCTCCCCCATCCTGGGAATGGGGCCCTCAGGATCCAATACTCTAAGAATCCACTCCAAGGTTTACCTCACAGATTAGTAATGAGGCCCAGAGAGGGAAAGGAACTTGCCCAGGGGCACACAGGAGGTGACTGGGAGCTAGGATTGGAACCTCTGGCCTGGCCTCGAAGTCATTCAACCCATGCCCTGCCTCAGAGCCCCGACCTCATTTACTCACCATCTCCAGGAATCCCCCAAACCCTTCTGCATGTAGCCCCAGGGAAGGTCACCCTGGACAAGCCTATGCCTGGGCCAGGCCCCAGGAGCCCGGGTTTCCTGGCAGTGGGGAATGAGTGACAGGACATTGCTCAAGCCACAGGGCTGCAGAGTTTCCTGGGCCCTGGTTTCCTTTTTTCAGATGGACTAAAAGGATCTGCCCTTGTCCTCCCAGCTCTGCCTGAGTGCTGGGGAAACTGAGGCACTGGGCAGCATCCCCACCTGGGTGCTGAGAGTACCTCTGAGAGCCGCGTGTCTCCGGGGTGGAGCCAAGGCTATGGGGCTCCCTCGGGTTGCCTCCCAGGAACCTGGGGGCCTCAGGCTGGTCCCCCAGCTGGCAGGGCTGGCACAGGACTGAAAGGAGAGGATGTGGGGGCTGGGACCTGGCTCTGGGGGCCTCCCGCCCCCACCCACACCCCCAGCGTCCTGAGCACCTCGGCCACCTTCTTCTCAGCCATCCTCTGCAGGGCGCTCCGCACCTGGGGGAACGCTTGGAGGTCAGGTCAGGGACCCTCCCCACCCCTCGGACCCCCCTCCCTGCAGCCGGCGCCCCCAGACTCACCTCGTCATTGCAGGCAGCATAAACCAGGAAGATGTACAGGCCCTGAGGACAGACCCAGCGAGTGGGCGATGCCTCAGCCCTGAGCCCCCGACCCCATCCCCCATAGCCTGGCCTTGCCTGGGATCCCGGCGCCCCGCAGGGGCAGAGACACTCGCAGAGATACCCAGAGACAGGCTGATGGGCAGTAAGTCGGCCCTGCCCTCGTGTCTGCCTGCGGAGGGGCAGCTGTGGCATTTAGCAGGATGGGGGACCGGAAGGGGTTTTGTCCCATGCAACCCCAACCTTCAGCCTCTGCTTACCAGGCAGTCTCTCTGACTCCAGCCAGTCCTCTGTGCCCCACCCTGGGCCTGTCCCATCCTCACCGCCTCACTATGCTGTGCGGTAGGGTTAGGAGGGGGACACCTTCCTGAGGCTCCAAGGCCAAGTCAGGTCCTGGGACAACAGCCCTGGGAGTGCCTTCTCCCTGTGCCTCTAGCTGAGTGGCCTTCACCTCCCTGAGTCTCCGTCTTTTCATCTGGAAAGGGGAGATGAGGCCGGGACTTGGCTCCTGAGGGGATGGGAGGTGCTGCCTGTGAGGGACTCACACAGTGGCTGGGGCGGAGCTGGCTCCCTCTTCCCACACCGTGGGACCAAGAGGCCCTCACCACCCTCCCTGCGCCATCACATCTGGGCCCTCACTTGACCCTCGCAGCAAGTCTGTGGCGGGGGTGGATTCATTCTCCGCATTTGATGGAGAGGGACCAGGAGCTGGGGGTGGGGGACAGAGGAATGGGTCCTAAGCTCCAGTGTGGTCCAGCCCTGAGGCTGTCCTGGGATCCCCCCTGGGCAGTGTCACAGGCAGCTGCTCCTGTGCTGCGGCCCAGGCAGGAGGGCACAGGTGGGGGCCTGGAATTCCTTGGGGCCTTCCAGCCTCCCAGGCCTGAAAGCTGGAGCCCAAGAGCCTGGCTGGTCTCCCTGGTGCCCAGGCACCAACTGAGGTGATACCCTCACCCCCATTCTCCAAGACAGACCCCAAAGGCTCCCAGGTCCCCACGCCCAGCCTGTTCTTTCTCTGTAGCCTCTGCACTGCCTTCTCCATTCCATTTCCTTCTACCCACTCCTCACCACCCAAAGGCATCTTTCCAAATGCCGACCCAAAAACACCAGCACCTGCCTGACGCCCTGCATGGCTCCCAACTACCCCAGGACAAAATTTGAGCTTTTCTTTCTTTCTTTTCTTTTCTTCTTCTTCTTCTTTTTTTTTTTTTTTTTTGGACAGCGTTTTCACTCTTCTTGCCCAGGCTGGAATGCAATGGCACAATTTTGGCTCACTGCAACCTCCGCCCTCTTGGTTCAAGCGATTCTCTTGCCTCAGCCTCCCGAGTAGCTGGGACTACAGGCACCCGCTACCACACCCAGCTGATTTTTTGTATGTAGTAGAGACGGGGTTTCACCATATTGGTCAGGCCGGTCTTGAACTCCTGACCTCAGGTGATCCACCTGCCTCGGTCTCCCAAAGTGCTGGGATTACAGGCGTGAGCCACTGCGCCTGGCCAAGTCTGAGCTCTTTACGACAGCTTTGAGGACCCTATGCTGTCTGCCCCCCACACTCCCTCCTGCCCCATTTCTCACCAGCCTTACCCCTCATGCCTCCCTGCCATTTGACCCCACCATGCCCCTCCCCCGGCTTAAAACATTCTTTTCCCCCTCTCCATACAGCTGTCAGGTCTTGGCTGAGAGTGACCCCCTCCAGGTGGCCCATTCTGCCTCTGATGACCTGTTCCTCTGTCCCCACACTGCCTTGACCAAGGCCCGTTTTCTCTCGGTCTCAGTCACGACACACTGTGGTTGTGTGGTTTTAATGTCTGCCTCTCCCTCAGGCTGAGAATGTCACAGAATTCTTTGGCCCTGGGCATCTCCACGTCCCCCAGCGTGCAGGCCAGCCAGGGCACGGGGAGGTGCTAGGGGAGTGCGTGTTGAACAACTGAACAAAACAATGAGCTCACACTCGTGGGATTCCTAGCACGTGCCAGGTATCGTGCGTAGCCTTGGCAAATGTTATGTCAGCCAAACTCCACGATGATCCCATGAGGCGGGTGGGAATCTGATCCCCTTCAGTTAGATGTAGAAACGGAGGCCTGGTGCCACTTCTCCAGGCCTCACAACAAGGCTCTGTCCACCAGGGCAAGTGTGAGCTACGGCTGGTTACGGCAGTGAGGCTTTGCTCTCCCTGGACACAACCCGGCACAGGGCCAGAAAGATACAAATGACTTACAGAGAGTGAATGAGGTTGGGCAGAGTTTCATCCCTGAGTCCCAGGCCTCCTCCCTGGTCACTTGGTCACCCTCCTAAGAGTGAGATGTACCCAACTTATGCCCAAGACTGACGGAGAGTGACAGGGGGATAGGGATGGAGGTGGAGTGCGAGGAGAAGACACAGAGAGACCTCGGTGGACACAGAGAGAGAGAGACCAAAGGAGAGGTGAAGGGAAAGGCTGTGCCTGGGGAGAGGGACTGAGAGAACAGGGCCCTGAGCCCAAGAGGGTCATGTGACTGTCAGCGGCAGGGCCCAGACCCCACTCCTGCCTTCTGAGCTCCTGCCTAAGGCAGCCGCTCCTTGCCTTCACCAGGTGAGCATCTCAAGGGTGATCTGAGGCTGCCTTAGGCAGGGGCAAGAGAAGGTCATGCACATGGAGATGGAGAGGCAGAGATAAAAAGACCGGTGTCAGAGGGCTGGGCATGGTGGCTCATGCCTGTAATCCTAGCACTTCGGGAGGCCGAGGCGGGAGGATCACTTGAGGTTAGGAGTTCAAGACCAGCCTGGGTAACATGGTGAGACCCCCCCGTCTCCACTAAAAATACAAAAATTATCCAGGTGTGTAATCTCAGCTACTCAGGAGGCTGAGGCAGGATAATCGCTTGAATCTGGGAGTCAGAGGTTGCAGTGAGCCGAGATTGTGCCACTGCACTCGGAATGAGACTCTAGCTCCAAAAAAAAAAGACAAAAAACAAAACCAACCAACAAAAAACAATCCGGTGTCAGAGAGACAGAGGAGAGAAGTGGAGAAACATGAAGACAGACCCAGAAAGAGCCAGGTGGGGTCAGTGCCAGAAAAAATATCCACGGCCAGAGGGTGAGAGGGGCACAGGGAGAGGGGGACAGTGACAGAGGGGGAGCCTGAGAGACAGAACCAGAGAAGATTCAGGGACCAAGATTGGGACAGAGAGAGAGGAAGGAGTGACGGGAGGGAGCTGAGATGGTGCGACGGTGGCATTGCCCCATGGCTGTGTCTCTGCCCACCTGAGGGGCACAGGTGAGGACGGAGAGCATCAGGGATCCAACGCCCCATGATGTGGAGAGGGGCACCTGGGAAAGAGCTGGAGGAATCGCCATGGCAACAAGATGCCACCACCTGCCCCACCGTGTGACAGGTGGAGAAGCCTCGCCAGGGGCCAGCCAGACTGAACCCAGCCATGAAGCCCTGGGGGGCGTGGGGCTTGGAAGAGGGCTCCCCTGCCTCGTCCCCTCACTGAACACTTCATTTCTTCATCGTGGCCGTGGTCTTCCTGCTCTACCAAGGGCAGCTCCACAAATCCAGGGGCTTTTTGCTACCTCGTTTCCTGCTGTGGCCTGGCACCCAGCACAGTGCCTGGTACACACCGGGCGAGCTGTGACTAGCACACGGATGAATGAGTAACTGGGTCCAAGCATGCTCCCAGGGACCAGCCAGGACCCATCTGCAGTCAGCTGGATGCCCTGTGGCTGAGAACACAGACTCTGGAGTGGTGTCCCAGCACTGATGCTGCCTCCTAGGGGGCCTTGGGCAGGTGACCTCATGAGGTCTCAGTTTCCCCACTTACAAGGCTTGTTGAGAGATAAAAATAGGAGCCTGGCCTGGGGCTCAGAGGGAGCACCCAGGCACTGTGAGTGGCTGTTACTGCCTTGGCTCCCATTCTTCAAGGAAAAGATGGAGGGTCCCCAGCTCGGAGGGCACACGGACCCTGGGTGGAGTTTGCACCTGACTGCCTGAGCCTGGCACAGTCCAACCTGGGCCCTCGCCCACCTACCTTTTGGCCCTGAGAGGGACCCGGGCCGGGAAAGCGGGGAGCAAGAGGTGCAGGTGACAGGGAGAGGTGCCTGGCGGAATGGTCCAGGGAGGTCGAGGGAAAGGGAGGGGCCAGGAAGGGCCTCGGTGGGCCTGCCTGACTCCCAGCACCCAGCCCCCTGGCTGTCACTGCGGTTAATGTTCTGGTCCTCCACAGACCTGCCAATCCCCCAAGAGGGACCTAGTTGGCCCCCTCCCTGACACAGGCCCTGAGAGACCCGGGGAGCCCGGGCCCTTTCCTGCAGCCTCATGAACAGGCCTCCTCACCAAACCTCTTCTAAACGGCTATCCCAGCAGGCCGCAGACCCCAAGCGGGAGGTGACTGATGCTCTGCATCCCCTCCCCAGCTTCCTGGCAAGAACTAAGTGGCTCTGGCACCAGCTAAGGGGCTGGAATTTCTGCCAGACCCTGAGTGTCCAAGCACAGTCAGCCTTAACACCCTCTTTCTGGGCCTAAGCCTCCGTAGCGGGCAGAGGGGCCCCAGGAGCCTCCTGCACGAACCGCTGGTTGATTGGAGGTTGCCTGTTCCCCCCCACCCTCAAAACTCCTTCTTAGAGAGAATGTCCCAGTTGCTGTTGAATGTCTCCTATAATGGAGGGGTCACCCCCCGCCCCAGTCCCTGACACCCCAGTCGTCTCCTCCGAGCCTTCATGCATATCAGGGCCTAGTCCCAGAAGATTGGGGCTGGAGGTACCTGGATGGAGTTGAGGCCCACGGCAGCGTAGGCCCAGGCGGGGCTCAGGTGCACCAGGATGCCCACCAGCCAGGTCAGGCCCAGGACGGGCAGCAGGACCAGCACAGGCTTCACCGTGGCCCTGTAGGAGGGCAGGCAGGGCTGACGGGGGTTGGAGGCCTGGGGAGCTCCCCGCAGGGTTCCAGGGATAGCAGCACCTGTAGGTGCCCGGAGTGGGGTGGCAGCTGAGGGCTAGGGCCATGGCTCAGCAGGACTTAGAGGGAGCCAGGACCTTTGACTGGACTTTGTTGCCCCCTCCTCAGAGACAGAGGTGGCATGAAGTAGGGTAGAGGCACTTGGGAGATGGGGTCCCAGCCCCCAGCCTTGCTGGAAGGAACGGAGTGGTAGCTGTTCAGAGCAGGGGCCGAGGCCTGAGCAGTGGGAGCAGCAGGGATGGGGTCAGGATTCCCTTCTCCCTCTCTAAGGGCCCTGGGGTTCCCTGGCTTTTCGGGGGTCCCCCCAGCTTGGGCTGCCCTGTGCTTGGTGGAGGATGGGTGGGGAAGGAGAAAGCCAGCAAGGAGGCAGGGCTGGGAAAAGAGGCCGGCGGGGTCCCCCTCTTGCAGAGCGTGACCCCGGAGGGCGATGGGGGTCTTTGGCAGGAACAGGGACCCAGGTCCTCACCCTGAACTTGAACTTCTGGAGCTAACCCTGAACGTCTGGGGCTAGCCCTGATTTGAGGGTCTCCCCTACTTTGTCTCCTGTAGGCTATCAGTACCTTCCGTAGACAGTGCACCCCTCGAACAGTGGCTAATGTCCACAGCTCCCTCACACGGATCAGTGACCATCCCCACATGTGACACGCATGGGTGCATGGGTGCATAGGTGCATGCTGACACAAGTTGACGTGCCCGAGCATGTGTGACACAGATGCAGGGACACATATGCACCCACATACTCAACACAGACTCGCACGTGCTCTTGCCCGGTGAGCCTCATGCCTGGCGCTGGCTGACCCTGCACTTCCCGCTTCCTGTTGGCCCCCCTGTTCTGGGGCCTCACCATATCTGGGTCCAGATCTGCTCCTGAAGGCAGGGCTGTGGGCTCAACATGCGGGCACGGCGGCGGGTGCTGGACACGGTGACCATCACCACACGGGCCAGGATGCAGGTGTTGGCCTGGAGACCTGGGGTCAGTGGGTGAGAGGCCTTCCCCGTCCCCAACACGCCCCTCCCCTGCAGGTCCCCAGCTCACAGTCAGCACGAAGAGCACAGGCCCCACGAAGGCCCAGATGGCATATGTGTGCACGTTGAGCCAGCAATGTCCGGGGGCCACGTAGTCACGGGGGAGCATGGCCAGGGTGACTGCCACAATGCCCACAGGCACGCCTAGGGGAGGGAGAAGGGGGTCTCGAGGCCGGGTCACCTGCTCTTTCTTCTCCAGGACCCAGAACCGCGCCCGCCAAGCTGCAGCTGTCCCCTACTGGAGGTTGTACTTGGGGTACTGGGGAGGTCCAAGGAGCAGGGCTGGGGGCTCTGATACTGTTGGGGTGGCATTGGAGCCACAGTAGTTTGGGAGCGGGGAGAGCTGAGGCTGCTTTGGAAGCTACAGCTGGGCGTCTCCAGAGATGGAGGCTGGGCAACTGGCTGGCTTCAGATTTGGGGAGATAGCACTGTGGATGGAGAGGGGAGGCTGGGAAGTGGAGACGGATTATGAGGAAGGGGCTTGGGTAAATTGGAGGTTAATAGGACTAAGGAAATTGAGGTCATGTCAGAGATGGGTGCTGGGTGATGCTGGGTGCTGGGTGATGCTAAATGCCGGATGCTGAGTGGTGCTGGGTGCTGAGTGCTGAGCGTGGGGCCGCGTTAGATGGCAGGGTCGGCCATGCAAGGTACAGCTGGGGAGAAGAGAGTGCGGGCGCAGAGCAGGCCTCACCCCAGCCTGTGGCGTGGTAGAGCCGCATGCCTGGTCCCGGGTGCATGCTCACAGCTACCACCTTCCTCCACAGCAACAGCCCCTCCACCAGCATCCAGGAGAATGCCGCCAGAAAGAGGAAGTGCATTGCGACTGTGACAGCCACACATGCCACCTGTGGGAGCGGGGGAGGGTGGGGATCCCCACCTAGGTCCGAGGTCAGACGCAGGTGCAGGCCGGCCCCGCAGCCCTGTGCCCAGCCTGGCCTTGCCAACCCAAAGAAGTGTCAGCGGGTGAGGCCTCTGGGCAGCAGCCTGGGCCCCGCTCCACCATTTGGAGCCTTTCCTCCCTGGGCCCTGCTCCTCCCCAGGGAAGTGGAGCCAAGTGAAAATGGTGGGGGGCAGGGGGTCACCCTAGGAAAACCCACAGGCACTTTCCCAGGCTTCCCTGGGCTTCCGGCCCACCCACTGACCGCCCACCTCATTGGCCTTGGCCCACTCGCTGGTCATGAGGAAGCCCTCTGCACAGGCCAGGGAGAAGGTGAGGTTCTTGTGGACTGTGGTTCGCTCCGACTTGGGGACCCTGGAGAGGACAGAGGAGTCCGTTAACAGGACCACTGCCGGTCCCCACACTCCGCAGGCCCCTGTCCTGCCCGGTCCCCTGTGCCTGGGCAGGTGGAGGGAAAGAAAGCAGCTCCACAGGGGACCCTGCACATCCTAAGGAGAGGCTCAGACCGAGGTTCTGCCGGGACCAAGGGTGGACACCCGACCGAGGGGGACATGGAGGCCTGAGCGAGGCGGGGAGGGCCCAGGCTGCCAGGCTACGGTGGTGAACCCTCCTCACCCGGCCGCCAGGAAGAGCAAGAAGGTGGTGGTGAGGGCGCAGAAGGACACACCACAGCCAACAAATGAGAGAGTCCTCAGCAGCGACTCCTCCTCAGGGCCTCTCTGTGTGGAGGGACAGAGAAGTCCCCTGGCACCACCCAGACCCGACCCAGGCCAGACCTCGCCCCGCCTGGTGACTGTAAGGACCCCCATGCCATATTCACGTCTGCAGTGCAGCAGCAGCCAGCAGGGCCCAGGCCTGCACACAGTAGGCATTTAATAAGCAGGTGTGAGCATGTCCTTCTCTCCTGCTGGCTCTCCCTAGACTGACCCCAACTGGCCCAGATTCCACCGACTGGACAGCTACTAAGAGCGCTGACCGATGTGCTCACGGGGAGGGATCCTAGGGACCACGGAGTGTCGTCAGAATGGGGCTGTGGGTGGATCGTTTATGATGTGGAAAAGCATCCACGCTCTGACTTTCCTTTTTTCTTTTTTTTTTTGAGTCTCACTCTGTCCCCCAGGCTGGAGTGCAAGTGGCGCAGTCTCAGCTCACTGCAACCTCTGCCTCCTGGGTTCAAGTGATTCTTGTGCCTCAGCCTCCCGAGTAGCTGGGACCACAGGCACGGGCCACCATACCCAGCTAATTTTTGTATTTTTAGTAGAGATGGGGTTTCACCATGTTGGCCAGGCTGGTCTCCAACTCCTGACCTCAAATGATCCGCCTGCCTTGGCCTCCCAAAGTGGTCGGATTATAGGTGGGAGACACCATGCCTGGCCCTGACTTTACAGGAAAAGTGCATTTGGTAACCTGTTTTTCTAACGTGCCCCTCAACATGCCAGGTGACCCCAGCATTCCTGAGGTTCAGGTCCCATCCCACCTGACTTCTCAGCAAGTGACCACTCAGGGCCCCTTTCCATCTCCAGTGAGTCCAGCCCCTCCTGATGTCCCCTTAGAGTTTCCCCTCAACAAGTTGTTTACAATTTATTATTTACTCATTTATTTTTAGACAGGGTTTTGCTCTATCACCCAGACTGGAATGCAGTGGCATGATCTTGGCTCACTGCAGCTTCGACTTCCTGAGCTCAAGCAATCCTCCTGCCTCAGCCCCCTGAGTAGTTGGGACTATAGGCGCGAGTCACCATGCCTGGCTAATGTTTGCATTTTTTGTAGAGATGGGGTTTTGCCATGTTGCCCAGGCTGGTCTTGAACTCCTGGGCTCAAGTGATCAGCCGCCCAAAGTTCTGGGACAACAGGTATGAACTATTGCGCTCAGCCCTGTCCCCTACAATCTATGACAGCTGGCATCCCTCAGAGGCTTCTTCTTACTACCTATTGGCTCTTCTCTTCACCTCCAGCTAAGGACCCCCCTCCTGACACCCCCTTCCCACCATGCACTCACCTGTACTTCATAGATTTGCAGCAGGACGGCAAAGCTGGTGCTGTGGTTGCAGAAGCAGGCGGTGGAGTCCGGGTACAGGGCAGCCACGGAGCAGCCCGTGGTGGCCCAGGCACCCCCTGTATATGGGCTTGGGGGATGGGGAGGGAACAGAGGGCTCTTGAGATAAGGTGGACAAGGGGGTGAGGGGCCAGGAGCAAGCAGGGGAAAGGCTCTCCCCAAAGCCTGGGGCCCATCACCGCCCTGCCTCTAACCAGCTACGTGACCTTGGGGAGTCACCGCCCCTTCCTGGGTCTCAGTTTTTCACCTATAAAATATGCTTGACATTCTTAGGATGGTAGGAGGGCGGGGCTGATACCAGTGATCGCTGTTTATCAACTTCATTAATTACTGAGCCACTGGGACCAAGGTTCCCTACCTCAGCTAAAGATCCAGGGCAGGGAGCCGGGCTAATCCCTGGAGCCTGCTCTGCTCCTTCAAGAGCCCTAGGGCCCTGGCCTCAGATAGATCAAGTTCAACACCCATTTGACAGATGAGTCCCTTCCTAGGCATCTCACAGAGTGAGTGCTTCCTCCTGCACATACTCTCATGACAGGGAGCTCACTACCTGCTGGGTAACACATCCTCCTGCCCCAGCTTGTCCTAGAGCTGGGAGGAGCCTGGAGTCACCCTGAAAGGCAGATGGTGAACGGAGGTCAAAACCATGTGTAAGTCTTGCCTCATCCCCAAGCAGAGTGGACATCTTTTTAAAAAATCATCTTAAAGGCTGGGTTCGGTGGCTTACTGTAATCCTAGCACTTTGGGAGGCCAAGGCGGGTGGATCACCTGAGGTCAGGAGTTCGAGACCAGCCTGGCCATCGTGGCAAAACCCTGTCTCTACTAAAAATACAAAAATTAGTTGGGAGTGATGGCGGGCGCCTGTAATCCCAGCTACTTGAGAGGCTGAGGCAGGAGAATCGCTTGAGGGACATGGAGGTTGTATTGAGCCAAGACTGCACTACTGCACTCCAGCCTGGGCGACAGAGCAAGATTCCATCTCAAACAAAACAAAACAAAAACAAAAAAACCCTGGAAATGGAAACTAACCTGATACTGTAGTTCCAGAAAGCACAGACAGGCTCCACCAGCTTGTGACGGAAGGTCTGGAGGCAGGAGACAGGGACAGGGCAGGTGCATGAGCGTGGATTGAGCAGCACGGTGCAGGTGTGAGTGTGGATGGGAAAGGAGAGAGACCAGGAGAATGGAGGGACGCCAAGGACTCTGCATTTTAGGGACCGGGGGGTTGCCCACCATGCGTTGTGGATGAAGGGGCAGAGGGGAGGCAGAGGGAGGAGAGTGCAGACTTTCTGGTGTGGAAGGTGGAAAAACTGGGAACGAGCTAAGCAGCCATCACTGGGGAGTGGTTAAGCAACTGTGCCTCTCCTCTCCTTGGGATACTGCCTCTGGTAAGATGAACACACAGACCTCTGGCTACTGATGTGGAAAGATCTCTGTGATACGTTGTTCAGTAAAGGAAGAATTCACAGCATTGGGCACATAAGCCCATTTATTTCACATAAGCCCATTTATGTGAAAAATTCAGGTCTGCATACTTGTGAAAACACACACACACGTACACACATAGCATGTGTGGGAGCAAACACACAGTGAACTTAACAGTGGTTAGGTCTGGGTTTGAATGTGTTACGATGCATGTGTTAGTTCTTTTGTAATTAAACAATGACAAAAATATAGATTTTATAACATGTCATTAAACAGTGAAGACACATCAAGTGGCCGGTGGTACTAGCCCCAGTCTAGGTAGTGAAGGTAGCCTGAGCTTGGGACTTGGGCCATCTGTCCTGACTGGCGAGGGTGATGGCAATCACACCTCACTTTGTGTCTTGCCAAGCACTTTCATGTCCTTTATTGTAGCTGATCTTCATAGCAACCTAAGAGATAGCTATAAATTCTTGCAATTTCAGATGAGGAAACTGAGGCTCAGAGAGGAGGGTTAACCTGCTCAAGATTTACACAGCGCCATGCTTTGCATGGCTCCACTGAAAGCAAGGGCTTTCATTTTGCAAAAGGAAATAAATATATATAGTGTTATGTGCCCAGAAAACAGCTTAAGTAAAATGCACCAAAATGTTCATAGCGGTTATCTCTGGGTAATAACATTTTGTCTTTATCCTTCTCTATATTTTCTGAATTTGTCACAATGAGTAACACATTGCTTTTATTTATTTTTATTTTAACATATTTTAAATTATTAATGTATAAAAATCTCAAAAATTTATCCTTTAGAATATTAAACAAGGCTGGGCGTGGTGGCTCACTTTGGGAGGCTGAGGCAGGGGGATCACTTGGGCCCAGGAGTTTGAGATCAGCTTGGACAACACAGTTAGATCCTGTCTCTGTGAAAAATACAAAATAAAATTAGCCAGACGTGGTGGTACGGACCTGTAGTACCACCTACTTGGGAGGGTGAGCTGGAAGGATCGCTTGATCCCAGGAGGTTGAGGCCGCAGTGAGCTGTGGTGGTGCCACTGCACTCCAGCCCGGGCGACAGAGGGAGAGACTGCCTCAAAAATAAATAAATAATAAAAATAAAAATATAAGCGAAATTGACAAAGTTCTAGCTAGACGGTCCAAGAATGAAAAAGAAAACATCACTGTAGAGTCTACAGATGGGAAAAGGATCATAAGGAAATAGTATAAACAACTCTGTGCTGGAAATTTGACAACCTGGATGAAATGGACACATTCTTTGAAAGGCACAAATTACCAAACCATCTCAAGAAGAAATAAAACACCCAAATAACCTGTATCAATCAAAGAAACAGAATGCACAATTAAAAATCTTTCCACAAAGAACACACGAGGTCCAGAGGAATTCACTGCTGAAGCTGATCAAACATTCACAGAGGACAGAACTCTTCCCAACTCATTTTATGAGGCCAGCATTAATCTGACACCCAAACCAGAGGAAGACAGTACAGGAAACTATAGAACACATTATTCATGAACATAAACACAAAAATCGTCAACAAAATACTAGCTAATTGAATCCAGCAATATATATAAAAGATATATATATAACCATAATCAAATTACACTGATCTCAGGAATCCAAGGTTGGTTTAACACTTGAAAATCAGTCAGGGCAATTTACTAGATTAATGAAATAAATGAGAAAACCATATGATCATATCAACGTGCAAGAAACATTTGACAAAATTCAAAGGCCATTCATGATAAAAATTCTCAGCAAACCACGAAGAGAAGGGAACTTGATCTGATGGACATCTACAAAAAGCCCAAACATCACACTTAACGGTGAAAGTCTAGATGCCTTCCTTCTAAGATAACGAATGAGACAAGGATGGCTGGCCTCACCATCCAATTCAACATTGATCCAGAGATCCTAGCTGGTGCAACAAGGGAAGAAAAAGAAAGAAAGGAAAGGAAGAAAAGGGAGGAAAGGAAGGAAGAAGGAAGGCAGGAAGGAAGGAGAGAGAGAGAGAGAGAGAGAGAGAGAGAGAAAGAAAGAAAGAAAGAAAGAAAGAAAGAAAGAAAGAAAGAAAGAAAGAAAGAAAGAAAGAAGGAAAGAAAGAAAGAAGGAAGGAAGAGAAAGGAAAGAAAGAAAGGAAGGAAGAGAGAGAGAGAAAAGAAGGAAGGACGGAAGGAAGAAAGGAAGAAAGAAGGAAAGAAGGAAGGAAAGAAAGAAAGAAAAAAAGAAAGGAAGGAAGAGAGAGAGAAAGGAAGGAAGGAAGAAAGGAAGACAGAAAGACATGGATTGGAAAGGAGAAACAAAAACTGCCTTTACTTGCAGACAACATGAGCATGTATGTAGAAAATCCTAGAGATTCAGGAAAAGAGCTACTGTAAGTACTAAGTGAGTCTGGCAAGGTTGCAGAATATAGTATCATTGTACAAAAATCAATTATATTACTGTATACTAGCAATGAACAGTTTAAAATTAAGAAAACAATACCATTTCTGGTAATATCCAAAACTTTGTAACACTTAGGAATATATTTAACAAAATATCTCTAAGATCTGTTCACTGAAAGGTATATATCACTGAGAAAAAAATGTAAAAACCCTAAATAAATGGAAAGCTATGTCTTGATAATGAATTGAAAGATGCCAGTTCTCCCAAATTGATATACAGAGTCAATGCAATGCCAATCAAAATACTAGTAGGTTTTCTATAGACATTTATGAGCTGATTCTAAAATATATATGGAAATGCAAAGAATCTAGAATAGCCAAAGTAACTTTGAAAAAGAACAAGGCTGAGTGTGGTAGCTCGTGCCTGTAATCCCAGCACTTTGGGAGGCCAAGGCAGGTGGACTGCTTGAGGTCAGGAGTTTGAGACCAGCCTGGGCAACATGGAAAAATCCTGTCTCTACAAAAAGAAAAAAAAAATAAAAATTAGCCGGGCATGGTAGATCGCCTGTAGTCCCAGCCACTTGAAGGGCTGGGGCTGAGGTGGGAGGAGGATCCCTTGAGCCAGGGAGGTTGAATCTACAGTGAGCTGTGTTCATACCACTGTACTCCAGCCTGGGCAACAAAATGAGACCCTGTCTCAAAAAAAAAAAAAAAAAAGAAAAAGAAAAAGAACAAAATTAGGCCAGGCACGGTGGCTCACACCTATAATCCCAGCACTTTGGGAGGCTGAGGCGGATGGATCGCGTGAGGTCAGGAGTTTAAGACCAGTCTGGCCAGCATGGTGAAACCCTGTCTCTACTAAAAATACAAAAAATTGACGGGGCATGGTGGCATGTGCCTGTAATCTCAGCTACTGGAGGCTAGGGCAGGAAAATCACTTGAACCTGGGAGGCAGAAACTGCAGTGAGCCGAGATCGCACCACTGCACTCTAGCCTGGGTGACACCAGAGATCACACCCATCTCAAAAAACGAACAAACAAACAAACGAAAAGCCCAAAAAACTAAGTTGAAGGATACACTACCTGATTTCAAGGCTTACTATACAGGCACATTAATCAGGACAGTATGAAATTAACATAGGGATAGGCATATAGATCACTAGAACAGAACACACAGCCCAGAAATAGATCTACACATATACAGACAATTGATTTCAACAAAGATGACAAGAAAATTCAACGGGAGCAAAGAATAATCTTTTCAACAAATAGTGTTGGAACTGGTTGTCTATATGGAAAAAAATGAACTTCAACCTTTTTACCTTCATAATATATGGAACTTAAGTTGAAATAAATTATACACCTACACGTAAAAGCTAAAGTGATAAACTTCCTTGAGAATATCTTTGTGACCTTTGGATTGCCAAAGCTTTCTTAGATAGGATACAAAAAGCATGAGCTATGCAAGACAAAAATTGATACATTGGACTTCATCACAATTAAAAACTTATCTTCCAAAGATACTATTAAGAACACAAAAAGCAAGCCACAGACTAGAAGAAATTATTCACAAGACATATCTCTAACAAAGGACTTGTATCCAAAATACATAAAGAATTCTTACAACTCAATAATAAAGCAAATAATTTAAAAATTGGGGAAAAGATTTGAAGATGCATTTAACAAAGGAAGATATATGACAACTTAATAAGTGTATAAAGAGATGCCCAGAATCATTGGTTTTCAAGGAATTGCAGCTTAAATCCACAATGAGATATCAATACATGACTATTATAATGAATGACATTTAAAAACACTGACAAGGATGTTGGCAGAGGTGTGGAGCAACTGGAACTCTCCAACGCTGCTAGTGGGAATGTAAAAATGGTTCAACCACTTTAGAAAACAGTTTGACAGTCTCTTAGGAAGTTAAAATACACTTATGCTACAACTCAGCAAGTCTACTTTCAGGAATCTACCTAGTAAAGAGAAATCATTTATCCACAAAAAGACTTGTATATGAGTGTTCATACCAGACTTATTCATAGTAGCCCAAACTGAAAACAAGTCAAATCTCTGTCAACAGGTAAATGGAAAAACAAATCATGATACATCTATATACCTGAATACTACTCAGCAGTGAAAAAGGAACGAGCTACTGAAAAGTGCAACAACACGAATGATTCTCAACAATGGGACCTGAGCAAAAGCCAGGCCTCAACAGATACTAGATGATTCCATTTACTTGAAATCCTAGAAAAGACAGACACAGGGCTGGGCACAGTGGCTCACACCTGCAAATCCCAGCACTTTGGGAGGCCAAGGTGGGCGGATCACCTGAGGTCGGGAGTTCGAGACCAGCCTGACCAACATGGAGAAATCCCATCTCTACTAAAAATACAAAATTAGCTGGGCATGGTGGTATATGCCTGTAATCCCAGCTACTCAGGAGGCTGAGGCAGGAGAATCGCTTGAACCCAGGGGGCTGAGGTTGCAGTGAGCCGAGATCGACCATTGCACTCCAGCCTGGGCAACAATGGCGAAACTCCATCTCAGAAAAGAAAAGAAAAGAAAAGAAAAGAAAAGACAGACAATCTACGGTTACAGAAAGCAGGTCAGTGATTTCCTGGGGTAGCAGCGTGGAACACTGACTGGGAAGGGGCACAAAGAAGCTTTTTGGGAAGGTAGAAATGTTCTAGACCTTGAGTGGGGCAGTGGTACACATGTATATACACTGGTCCAAACTTGTCAAATTGTATGCTTAACATGGATGCATTTTAGCATATGTAGATTTAGACATTTCAATCAATTTGATTTTTTTCTTTTTTTTTTTTTGAGACGGAGTCTTGCTCTGTTGCCCAGGCTGGAGTGCAGTGGTGTGATCATGGCTCACTGCAGCCTTGAACTCCTGGGCTCAAGCCATCCTCCTGCCTCAGCCTCGTGAGTAGCTGGAACTGCAGATGTTGTGCCACCTTGCCTGGCCAATTTTTCTATTCTTTTGTAGGGATGAGTTCTCATATGTTACCCAGGCTGATCTCAAACTCCTGGCCTCAAGCGATCCACTTGCCTCAGCCTCTCAAAGTGCTGGGATTACAAGCATAAGCTACCACGCCTGGCCTCAATCAATTTGACTTTTTTTTTTTTTGTCTTGGGAGGATATATACAAGAGACTGATAAGCAGTGGTGTGTGTGTGTGTGTGTGTGTGTGTGTGTCTAAGATTACTGGTTGTGAGCAAAGAAGATAGCTTTCTCTGAAACATTCCAGTGTTTCAGAAGGGAGAAGAAATTTGTGTATTAAACGTGAAATGAAATTTAACGTATCTTGGAGATCTTTCCATGTCAGTTTATACAGAAATATCCCAATCCCTATACAACTTTCAGTTGACTATTCCATTGCACACTTGGTCCCTATTACCTGCAGGAGATGGGTTCCAGGACCCCTAAGGATACCAAAACCTGCCAAGGCTCAAGTTTTTTGTATAAAATGGCATGCTATTTGTATATAACCTACACACATGCTCCTGTATACTTTAAGTCATCTCTAGATTACTTGTAATACCTAATACAACTTAAATGCTATATAAATAGCTGTTATGCTATCTTGCTTAGAAAATAAAATATAAATGTATTAATAGCTGTTATACTGTCTTATTTATGACCCCCAAAATAAAAGTCTATAGATGTTCAGTACAGATGCTATTTTTTCTGAATATTTTCCATCCATGGTTGCTTGAATCCTTGGTGGTGAAACCCTCCCATATGGAGAGCTGACCATGTGTATCTACAAAACTTGTTTTTTTGTTTTTTGAGACAGAATCTTGTTCTGTCGCCCAGGCTGGAGGGCAGTGGTGTGATTTCAGCTCACTACAACCTCCGCCTCCTGGGCTCAAGCGATTCTCCTACCTCAGCCTTCCCAGTAGCTGGGACTACAGGTGTGTACCACCATGCCTGGCTAACTTTTATGTATTTTTAGTAGAGATGGGGTTTCACTATGTTGGCCAGGCTGGTTTCGAACTGCTGACCTCAAGTGATCCGCCCTCCTCAGCCTCCCAAAGTGCTGGGATTACAGTCATGAGGCACCGTGCCCAGACCTACAAAACTTTTAAAGTAGTCCCCTACTGATGGACATTGAGGTTATTTTTATTTGTATGAAGCACATTCATATGTGAAGGCTCCTGCACACACACTGCAGAGAGTGAATGAATGAATTCACTGCACACGCCGCAGTGAATGACTCCATGAGAACTAACAGGTTTTCAAGTTATGCAGACCTAGAATGAATGAAATCCCAGCTCTGCCACTTACAAGCTGGGACCAATCACATTAGCCCTCCCAAGTTGTGGATAAAGTGCACAGTTGGAGGAGTAATGAATGCGCCATTCATTAATGCCACCTGCCATAAGGTGCCCCTGCAGTCAATCGCTTCCCTTCCCATTCCCTTGAGGACAATGGAGGTGACTTGCAGGTACATTTTGTGTGCATTATTAGGCCTTGGTTGTCCAATGAATAAATATTGGGAGTTCGGGGAACTGAGCCAGGACACATGCACCAGGATGGCTGCTTTCCAGAAGCGCCACCCAGTACCTGGGCCTGGTGCTGCAGATGAAATGTCACGGCCATGCTGACCTCTCCAGTGACGTCCCACACTTCAGAGGAGATGATGGCTGACCCCACCTGGGTGCTTAGGAACCTGTGGACAGAATGGGAGCTTTCAAGGGTGGCTGTGGAGGAGGGATGGTGCCTGGCTGGGGCATGTCACTCAGGCCCCTGCGGTGGAGGTGGCAGCCTCTGTGTCCAAAGAGGTATCAGGAATTATGGCACCTGGTTCAGTCTTGCCTTAGGGACTTGCTGGTAATTTGGGTAAGTCCCAACCCAGAAGCCAGAACCGCAGACGGGAGTTGAGCCGTTCACCTCTGGCAGGTGCGGAAGTGTGTGTGTGTCGGGCAGAGGTGGGAAACGGTGGGCTCTGGGCTGCTAAGGACACATGCACCCACCAGAACGCGGGCTCTGGCCTTCCTGGGGAGGGGACACAGGCCCTCACAACCTTCCAGGTGGCGCCTACTCACCTCTGCACCCTGTTTGCTTCCTCTGAGCTGGCAGGGGCCTGGGGCTGTAGGTCCAGTCCCTCTAGGGTATGCTGGAAGACCCTGGAGGTGAACCAGCTGTGGATCACGGTGACTCCAGAGAGGCCTGGCTGAGTGGAAGGGGCACCAAGGCACCACCCGGTGGCTGGGCAAGCACCACCAGCTGGCCCTAAGGGTGATGCTCTCCCCACTCTACAGATAGGGAAACTGAGGCTCAGAGAGGTTAAATGACTTCCCTAATATCACACAGCTAAGAAGTGGAACAGTCAAAATTCCAAGCAGCCACAGTCTATGTGCTTAACCTCACATCTCCAAGGCCCTTTGCCCCTTCCCCTAATCCCCCACCACTGCATGGCATCAAGCATAGGGGGTCTCCCTCCACTACCCACTCCCGAGGGAAGATGTGCGTGGTTCCGTGGAGGAGACTAAGTGAACACCACTATGTGGTGGGTGCTTTTAACCTTATAAGCCACAAGGCAAGTAGTAATGTGCCCATTTTACAGATGAGCAAACTGAGACTCTGAAAGATGAGTAGCACAGCTAGCAATGGTTAGAGCTGAGGTTTGACCCAGAACCCAACAGGGCTCTCGACACCCCCTCATCCTCACCCACCTTTTCCGAGGAGTCGCCTCACTTCACCTGCAGGAATGTGGATATGGCCGGGCCCCTCTGGACGCCCACCGGGCATTGTGAAGAAGCAGCCCCTCGTGCTGGCCTCCCTCAAGCGTAAGCTGCGTACCTCCAGGCCTGGGGGTAAACGGGGCTGGGTGGCTGGACCTCGGAGTGAGGTCTTTCTGCTGAGCCAGCCCAGCTAGCAGGGTCTGGATCTCTCTCTTCCTGCCATAGGCCTCAGAGTCCACCATTCCTGCTCAGAGAGGTTCAGCAACTTGCCCAAGGCAAATCTGACTTTTCCAATTCCAGGGGAAGGGGGTCACTGAGAAGGGGGGGGCGGTCACCGCGAGGCAGGACCTGAATATTGATGAGTCACCAGAAACTGATGGGAGCCCAAAGGACACGTGTTTGTACCTGAAGCTTCACCACAGGTGCACCCCCATTCAGGCTACAAACATTCACCGAGTGTGTACTTGGGCTTGGCCCGGAGATGCAGAGACGGCTTGCCACTCAGGGAGTGTCCCGTGGAGGGAGATAATCCCATTATGTAATTGCCAGAAATGCAATGAGAGACATGTTCAAGGTTCTGGGGTAATAGAGGCGGGAGGAACTGTCTCTCGGTGGAGGATAGAGCTAAAACGGGAAGGCTTCCTAAAGGGAGTGATGCCCACGCGGGGTTCTGAAGGATGTATAGGCATTTGCTAGGAGATCAAGGGAGAGAGGGCATTCTGGATTCAGGGCACAGCATGGGCAAAGGCAGGAAACAGAATGGAGTGCCGGTGGAAGTGCAGACAGCTCCCAGTCACCAGGGCGAGGAGGGAGGTCTGAGTCCAGCCGTGTGGGCAGGTGGGTGCAGGCTCACCAGCATGGCGGTGCTGGATGCGCATTCGGGGCTGCTCTGAGGTCATTGTGGTGCTCAGCAGGAGTGCCAGGCGCTGCACACTCGCCACCAGGGTCATAGGCCCACCAACCACCTGGGAGGATGCTGCATCTCAGCTTCCTGTCACACTCTGCACCCCACTGCTGCCTGCCCTGAGTGCTGGAATGAACGCTCCATGATCTGGGAGGTGGTCCTACCCTCTCCAGACCCTCCATGGCTCTTTAAGGACTCCAGGATCAAGTCCTGGGTCCTCAGGTTGACATTCGAAGACCTGCGTGCCCCAGCTTCCTTCGACCTATCCAATTCTATCTCCCAAGCCACCCCATCCTCCTGTTTGCCAGCCAGGGCACACTCGGAAGGCTGGGCCATGCCTACCCCTTCGCTGTGGCTCAGTGCTAGACCTGTAATGGTTGCTCAACACTGAGATTCCAAAAGGAAAGCCATGGGTGGGAGTGGTGAGAGCAGGGGAGGGAGGAAAGGAACCTGCATTCATGGGGCACCTACTCTGTGCTGGGCAAGTCACACTGTTCATCCCTAATGCCTCTCCATTGCCTTAGCAAGGCTGGTGTGATCATCCCCATTCCCCAGGGAAGAAAACTGAGCTTCAGTCTGGCTCTCCAGTCTACTGCAGTGCCTCGGATCCCTAATCAACTATGGGCTTGCACACTTCCCAGGATGGGGAGCTCACTACCCATAGCGAATCATTCCATAGAACCAGCCTCCTGTGTTACGCCGTCTTCCCCTACCCCCATGTCCTAGTCCCAAATCTGTCCTCTGAGGCCCACTAGGGGTACCAGTTTTGCTTCTTCAACCCCAGATAATTTGCAGGCACTGTTCATGATTCTTGTTCCCTTCCCTGCTCTGGACTGATCACTCCCAGGCCGACAGCCACTTCTGCCAGGACAAGGTTTCCAACAGCCTCTCCATCTGGACAGCACCTCTCATGTTGTCCAGAGTGTCTGGGCTGTTTAGGCAGACAAGGTGGACTGTCCACTCCGTATAGATCCCCCACTTAAGGTGGTCAGCAGGTTCTTGGAGATGGGGGAGGCTCTTACTAACTGGCGGCTCTTATTTCATTTAACTACAGAAGCTATTGGTCAAGTGCAATTTTTTTTTTTTTTTTTTGAGACAGAGTCTCACTCTGTCACCCAGGCTGGAGTGCAGTGGCGTGATCTCGGCTTACTGCAACCTCCACCCGCTGGGTTTAAGTGATTCTCCTGCCTCAGCCTCCCGAGTAGCTGGGATTACAGGCTCCCACTACCAGGCCTGGCTAATTTTGTATTTTTAATGGAGACAGGGTTTCACCATGTTGACCAGGCTGGTCTCAAACTCCTGACCTTATGTGATACACCCGCCTCAACCTCCCAAAGTGCTAGGATTACAGGCATGAGCTACCATGCCCAGCCTCAAGTGCAATTGTTTGTGGAAATTAAACTTATCAAGTAGACAAAAGAGAAGCTTCTCCCGATAGATGCAGAGATGGAGCCCAGAGCTAGGTGCTGACTCCCCCAGAGCTACACAACCAGCTGGTGGCTAGGCTGGAACCACAGCCCAGGCCTCTGCCCACCCAGCCCTGCCAGCCTCACCTCACGGATGGACAGCCATGCGTCAGCCACCTGCTCCTCCAGGACCAGACTGGCCACAGATACAACGCGTTGGCTCAGCTGCTCCCAGGGGCCTGTCAACAACAGCTCAGGGTCCCCAGCCCCGAGGGCCACCACCCTCTTCAGGAAGCGCACAACAGCCAGAAGTGCGGCCGGCCCCAGTGGAGCCATCTCCATTGCCAGGACATGCTCCAGAAGGCCCAGGAAGCTGGAGGCCTCCGCTGGGGACAGGGTCCCATGGGCTTCGGAGAGGGGGTTCGGGAGGAGCTGTGGGCAGAGAAGCCACTGACTCTGGGTCTGGTTGTTATGAGGGGATCCCCCAGGAGCCACACTTGGGCTTTGCCAGGATCTTCTTGGTGGACACCCATTAAACTTGTCACAAGCCCCCAACTCTCAGGGGTACAGAATAGGGAGCCTGAATGACCTTAATTCCTGCAGGCACACCAGGTGGGTGTCCCCTTTACAGGGGAGGAAACTGAGGTGCAGCGAGGTGACCCACAGAGCCCCCAGGCTCACCAGCCCCTGAAAGGGAGCTCACCACAATGTCATTGGCCAAGGCATTGACTCGGCTGATAACATCCTGGCCAGGCCACGACTGGGCATCCTGCAGCCGATGATAGGTCTCTGCAAAGGAGTGGATGCCAGGCTGGGTCCCGGGCAATACCCCTGCCCAGAGATGCCAGCCTGTTCAGTGACCTCTACCCACCACGTGCTGCCCAGGGAAGGAAGAGCACCTTGATGGCTGTGTGTCCAGAGTCTTACACACAGTGTTCTAGATGGGAAAACTGAGGCACAGAATGGCAAAAGAGCTTGCCCAACGTCACACAATTTGGATTCACCCTCAGGTCCGTCTGAACCCACTGCTCTGTGGCTTAGACTCCATGGAGACCTTGAAGCTCTGAGATGATTCTGAATTCCCAGACTTTGCCAATAGCTCATCCCCTCTCAGTCTACTCTGGTCCACATCGCCTTTCCCTTCAGCAGAGCCCAGGGGCACAGCCAGGGCGCACCTGTCCGGTAGCAGCAGAGGAAGAGCTGCGGCTCCAGGCAGAGTTCAGAGCCCTCACTGCGAGGTGCCGGGTTCCACGTAGGGCACTCCTCGGAGGGCACTGGCAGGCGCGGGGCAGCTGTTAGGGCTCCCTAGGGGTCCTGCGCACCCTGGCGAGCCAGGATGCACGACCCCGGGGTTAGGGGGCAATGTGAAACCTGAGAGAGGGACACTGTGGCTAGCTCGGGGTAGGGGTAAGGGGGAGGCTTATGCTGGGACCAGGCTTATGCTGGAGCTCGCTGGCACTGCAGCCTGGAGAGGGCGTGGCCAGAGCTAGGCGTGGCTTGGTTGGCAAGGGGTGGATCGAGTTCCAGGGTTGGAAGGGAAGGATTCGGGGCCATGGAGTGGGGCCGGGGCGGGGCGGGTCGTACCGGGACAGAGAAGGCGCACCCACACCATGGGCAGCAGCGAGGGTGCGATGTCCAGGGCGCCCAGGTCCCAGCGGAAGAGCAGGCCCTCTGGGGGCGGCGCGCAGGCCTGTGCCTGGTGCAACTGCGCGGGACTCAACGCCCGCGCCCACAGGTGGAAGTCGGTGAGGTTGCCGCTGAAGGCGTCACGCGCCGAGAAGCCACCGCCCAGGGAGTCCTGATCCTGGCCCAGCACCAGGATGCTGCCGGACGGCACCGGGTGGCCGGCGCCCAGTCCCCGCGCCCCAGCGCGCCGCCTCCCGTCGGAGAACAGCGCCCAGCGCCCGCCCCTCTGCTCCCATGTGGCGCAAACATGGTGCCAGCGGCCGTCGGCGCGGAAGGCTGCGAGGAAGGGCGCGTGGTGCCCACGCACCACCAGCGCAGCGCGCACTACGCCCCCTGGCTCGGCGAAGGCGCGCAGCTGCAGCGCGTTGGGCAGCGCGGGCGCGGCAACGGAGAAGAGCGCGGCGGGGTCAGGCGAAGCACAGTCCCACTGCACGTGAGCACACGCGGTCAGCGCCGCCAGCTCAGGCAGGGGGCTCCGCAGCCGCGCCGCGCGGTCAGCCGTCTTCTCGCCAAACACCAGCACTGCAGTGGTGCGCGCACCTGCGGGGACACGTGGGCCGCGACCTCAGTTTCCTCCCCTGTGAACATGGTCCTGCTCCTGCCCTTTGGCTTAGCGGCGGGGTCTTTCCAGGCTTTGGGGTACCTCCCCACCTCAGGAAGGAGGAAATGCGGGCTAGCGTTCCCCTGCCCAAGAGTCAAACCCCGACGTCCAGTCCGGGGCAAGGGAACCTGGAGATGCAATGGGGTCTTACTCCCGGCTCATTCTGCAAGTATTGTCACTGTGGGCTCCTATCTCTTAAGGTCCCCCGAGCCTCTGCCCCTTGCTCCCATTTTCCAGGGGCCCACACTCACGCCTCTGCGGGGGTCTCCGCAGAGGGACCTCTCTTTGGCCCACCCAGACCAGATCGCGCAGCCGTGAAGCAAGAACCCCATCAGGGGGCTGCAGTGCCAAGTGGCCAAACTGTTGCTCGCAGGACTCTTGGGCCTGCCACCAGCTCAGTCGCTGTCCGGAGAACTTGCACACCCCACCTGCAGTCTCCACCACCTCGCCGGGGGCCACGGGGGCTAAAAACGATAGGAGAGACGGGTGGGGGTGCATTTTGTGGGCATCTGACTCTTCCAGGGCTGGGCGGAGCTAAGGACACTGGGCTTGGAGTCATTCGGGCTGGATGGTGCTGAACCCGGCCATGTCTATGGCCCCCTGAGTCCTGTCCTCTTGCCGAGCTCGTTTCGTCATCTGCACAATGGCAGGCATGAGATGGAAACCAGTGAAGCTTTCCTCGCAGGGCCTGGTATGGTGGGGGTGAAACTAAATGTCACTCTTCCCCTCCTTTGCATTCTAAGCCAATGCATCCCTTGGATCACAGACTTGCTTAGCTGGGGGATGGGGACCCTCCCTGGGGGGATCCCTCATACCAACCTGGGCCCCAAGGATTCCTTGATTCACCTGAGGAATTGGAGGGGGTCCCAGAGAGATTTCCGATCTGGGAGAGAAGAAGACAGGTGGCGGTGGGGCAGCCCTCCCTGCACGCTAGCTGTTATTGAATGCCTACTCTGGGGGTGGGTGGGAGGGGGCATTCAGTGGAAGCTGCAGGCTCTGCAGTCAGACCTGAATTCAAATCCCACCACTCAGAGTGGGATCTTGGGAGGGCCCTTCACTGCCCTGAACCTTTTCCCTGCGTGAGGAGTAAACAGGCTGATGAGTAAGAGGGGTCACCCTTAGTGAGTGCTTTTATTCCATCTGTGCCAGGGCTTATCTTGCGTAACCTTTGCAGTGACCTCATGAGGTGGGATGGCCACTTGGAACCCTTGAAGCTGTGAGTCCCCTTGACTTCCTCCCAGGCACCGCCCTCCCAGAGGTGAAGGTACCAAGAGGCAGAGGAAACAGTAGCACCACGGTGCCATCCTGGATCCAACAGAGCAGGTGACTGACAGCAGGGGTCACAGGCAGGCCAACATGGACTGAGGAAAGAAAGTCACAGGAAAGCAGCTTGGCATCCTGCCTTGCTTCCCCCTTGGATTTCTGCAGGGTCCCTTTGCCCTTTGCTTGGCTCCCAGACCCCACTGAGCTGGGAACCAACCAGTGGGCTGGAAGCCCAGGTGGCCCTCCCACTAGGGACGACATTTACTTGCACAAAAGATGGTCTCCAGGAGCCCCTTCAGGACCGAAGCAAGGAAACACTGTTGCCTTGGAGAGCTGGGAGAGGAGGAGGCAGCAGCAGTCGCTGTTGGCCAGAAAGGGGCGAAACAGAGCTCAGGGTCCCTGCGGGGGTGGGGAAGTTCAGGACCAGGTGGCTTCTTTGTGTTGCTTGGTGTTCTCCGCCAAGGCTCTGCTTCCTCAGGCCTCTGCCGAGTTCCCTGGCCTCACCTGTCCACCGCTCCTCGGTGCCGCCACCTTTCCCCTGCTCCCCAAGGTGCGACCATTTCTGAATTTCCCTTCTCCAGACCTGTGACCATGCCATCCCTCCTGCCTGGACTGCCTCCCAGTCTCTCAGTAGTACCTCCTCCAGGTTCGGCCTGCCGTTCCCGCTGGTGGGTGTGCCGCAGCCAGGCGCTGTGCTCAGCGGGGATACCCTAACCCTGGGTGATCTGGGGGTCCCTCCCGTCAACATGGGGGACTCCGCCAGCAGGGAAGAGCCTCCTGGGTCTCTGCTCCAGCCTTGGCATTACACAAATGTGCCTGAGAAAACACGGTGTCCTGACACCCGGCCTCCTGCCACCTGGTGACAGCATCTGAGCCATCACCCGTGATCATTCACCCCTTTTCCCTCTTCCAGACAGCACGAAAATCCAACATGCCCCTCACCGGAGGACTCGGAGGCTCCCGCGTTTTGGACTCTGAAAAGCACTCCCTCGTTCACGTCTGCCTGGATTCGCGCCCTCAAGCCCCCAGCCCACTTTTCTTGCTCTCCAAACACTCGTTGAGGCCAGAGAGGGAGATGCGAAGTTTGCCCACCACTGCACGTCCGTCCTCTGCGAGGCGCCAATGGGCCTGAGTCAGGGGCCTCCCCTTCACCCGCTGGTCCCTCCCCTGTTCGCAGCTCCAGTTCCTCACCCGCTTTGCCTGGCCTGGCACCTGTGGCTGTTCACCGTCTGCGAGGCGTCTGCGGGGACTGAAGTCCGGGAGGCGACGGCTGGCTCTGGCTGGTACCAGGAGATCCCGCCCCTCGACCCAGGAGACCCCGCCCTCGGCCACGCCCCCTTCCGCTTCCCACCCCGCCCTCTTGGGCCCCCCACCCAGCCCAGCCAGCGAGAGACCTGCCTCTAGGTGGGTGGGAGGAGAACTTCAGTCCCTCTCCCCGGGCCTGTTGTCACTACCTTCCCCAAACACACTGGTTAAAGTCACCCGATTAGAAGGGGCCACCTGTGAGACTTGGATTCAGAGCAAACTAGTGGAAGCTGAAGGGTCTTTGGGCTCCCCAGGCCCCTCGGAGGCCGGGATGGTGGAGGAGGAGGGAGCGCTCAGTGTCAGGCCTACTGCCTGCGGGGGCCGGCTCCCTACAGGACGCTTCTCCTATACTTTCCACCTGCTGCGCGGAAGGGCTGGGGGCGGGCATACCCATTTTCCAGAGGGGAACTGAGGGCTCTCACCCCGGCTTAGGCCAGTGGCCAGTGGCAGAGCCGGGCCTTGAACCTAGCTTTCTGGATTTTCATCCAGGCCATTCTAAAGGTAGTGCAGGGATGGCAGAGAGGGCCTGTCTGGGGGAAGGGAATAGGGGCAGAGCCAGGGCCAGGGCTGCAGAGGGAGGCTGAGGGGTTGGGGGGATGCAGAGGCAAAGATCTTCCATGGAAATGTGGAGTAGGGACTGGGGGCATACCTTCCTAGCCTCAGTAGCTGGGATGCCTGGTTAGGAGGGAGGTTAGACTGAGTGACCCCAGGGCCCAGGCTTTGGGGGCAGATAGATCCATCCAAGTTCATCCAAGTTCATGTTGACTCTGACCTAAGGCATGACACCTAATTTCTCCAAGCCAGTTTCCTCATTTGTAATGCGTAGTTGATAAATAGTCCATAACTCATGGAGGTGCTGTGAGATTTAAGTGACTTTGACTTAACGTGTACCAAGCTCGTAGCTAATACATGGTGCCTGGCACACAGTCCACTTATCATTCTTGTCAAAACTCACTTAAAAGCTATCCTGCCAGGCTGGGTGCCATGGCTCATGCCTGTAGTCATAGCACTTTGGGAGGCTGAGATGGGAGGCTAGTGGAGGTCAGGAGTTTGAGACCAACCTGGGCAACATTGGGAGACCCTGCCCTGTGTCTACAAAAATTTAAAAATTAGCTGGGTGTGGTGGTGCACACCTGGAGTCCCAGCTACTTGGGAGGCTGCAGTGTGAGGATCTCTTGAGCCTGGAAGGTTGAAGATGCAGTGAGCCATTACCATCCCACTGCATTCCAGCCTGGGTGACAGAGCGAGACTCTGTCCTCCCCCCAAAAAAAAAGCTTGCTGGCAACAATTTTTGTTTTATTTTTATTATATATATAGAGAGAGAGACAGGGTCTTGCTTTTGTGATGGTTTATTTTAAGAAGAAGGGGGGTAATCAATATATACCAAAGAAAGATATATTGGTGGGTTTCTCTGGGTTTGATAATTTTCAAATTAAAAATTGGGAGACAAGAGGCCTCTCTGCTTGGGGCAGAGCTCGGAGCATTTCCCAGGTTCCTGGTCCAGCAAAACGTGGGCAGGACTTAGTTCTCTCCTGTTTGCGACCCGCCCACTTCCCACCCAGTCCCAGTTTCCAGAGCCAGTGAGAAGTGCAGGAACGAGAGGCCCAAGATGAGAAGGGCGGGAAGGAGAGGCTCAAGATGACAAGTGCGGGAAGGAGAGGCCCAAGATGAAGCCCCACTCTGCTTGGCCCTGGCTGGGCCTTCCCACACTTGCACCATCTCACTCAAGGCAGGGATTCTTAGGAGCCCATTTTATGCATGCGCAAACTGAGCCCAGAGAGGAGAATGGACTGGCCCAAGGTCACAAAGCAAGGAAGGAGTAGGCTGCAGGACAGCCTCCGGACCCCAACGCTGCCAGTCTCCTTTGTGTGGCTTCCGGCCCTCCTCACTGTGCCTTTCCTGTGCCACCCCAAATTTCTTTCTGTATCTTAAGCAACCACCTTCCCATCTTTGGTGATGCCCCTGCCCTGGCGCCTCCAGCCCAACTCCCTCCCTTCCAGGGGATCACATTTTCCAGGAGTCACTCCTGAAGATGATCAAGCACCATGGAGGGGCAGGGCATCCATGGACCCCGATTTGAGGTCCCTGAGCGGTTGGGACTGGTTTGGGCCACGGCTGGCCTAATCTCCCCACCGCAGAGCCTGGGCATTGTCCAGCTGGCAGCCAAGGGCCATCCATCCGCTTTACAGAAGGCAGCTTTGACAAGCTGCTTGTTTCCAAGGACAAAGCCTACAGGCTGTGGGTAGGCGATAGCCACTGCGGACCTCGGGCTCATTGCCTGGGTACAGGGGGTGGGGAGCCTGAGGTCTGCCAGGACCCAAGGGAGCCTCGAGGGTGGCCTGAGGACATTGGGTCCTCACTCTTGGCCCCTCAGCCAAACCCCCCATAGCCCAGGGCCAGGAATTTTGGAAGGAAGAGCCAGCCACTGGGGTGTTTTCAGTTTTGGGGTCACCCTGATCCCCCCAGAATTGAGGCTTGGCCATCAACCAGCTTTTATGTGACCCAGGCATTGTCTCTTTACTCTGTTTCTTTTCTACAGAATGTTGAGAGTCACCTCTTTCTCTCGGGGACATAAAGCATGGCTGTGAGAAGAGATTTGTGAGTGTTGGGGTCACTGTCGTTTTTCTCTGAGCGGGCTTGGCTCCCGCTCTGTAGACAAAGTGGGATCCCTTCCCCTCCCTCACGCCCCTACAAACTTTGGGCCTCGAGAATCTGGGATGGGCCCAGAACCAGCACTGGCACAGCCTTCTCTTTGGCCTGCTCCAACCCCTCTCCCACACAGCAGTCGGGCTGATCTGCCTAAAATTTCCGTCTATTCAGCTTACATTAAAAAAAAATAGGCCGGGCGCGGTGGCTCAAGCCTGTAATCCTAGCACTTTGGGAGGCCCAGACAGGTGGATCACGAGGTCAGGAGATCAAGACCATCCTGGCTAACATCGTGAAACCCCGTCTCTACTAAAAAAATACAAAAAAAAAAAACTAGCCGGGCGTGGTGGCGGGGGCCTGTAGTCCCAGTTACTCGGGAGGCTGAGGCAGGAGAATGGCATGAACCCGGGAGGCGGAGCTCGCAGTGAGCTGAGATCCGGCCACTGCACTGTAGCCTGGGCGACAGATCGAGACTCCGTCTCAAAAAAAAAAAATAAATAAATAAATAAAATAAAATGATATTTCTATCTGATTTTGTCTCTCCCCTGCTCAAAATCCTTCTGTGGCTCCCTAGTGCCTCCAGGAGAAAGTCCACCCTTCCTCCCATGGCTCACCCAGTCTACCCAGCTGTGGCTCCTTCACTGTGCCTCTTCCCCTTACCTTCCAGCCAGAGTGAAATCCCCAGGCCTCTGCGTGCGCCGTTCCCTCCGCTTAGGAATAGGCAGAACTGGTCTTTTCTGGTTCATTTCCACTTATCCTTCAGGTTTCTAGGGTGCTTTCCCTGATCTTGGCTTAAACTGGCTCAGGAATCCCCTGATCTCCGCAAATATCACGAACTTGTCCACCCGCCTGCCCCCTGCGCCCAGGTTACGTTTGACAAAGTGAGCACTTTGGAATGCTCCAACAGACCTAGTCACACCCAGACAGATGCCTTGCGTGTGTGTTTCAGGGTGGTGGTGCTGGGGACAGTGGGAAGGGACTCTGCCTCATGGACCCCCAAGGCCTGACACCGGCACTGCTGCTTGTGGCCACCGGAGGGCGAAACAACGATTTTGTGCCAACCTGCAGCTGGCCCCTCCTCAGCCTGGGAGAAAAGAGCAGCCCCTCCCCCCCACTCCCACCTGTCCCCACCTGTCACTGAGGCAGCTCCGGAAGTAAAACATGGAAGCAGCTGGTACAATGGCCTTGAGCTGGGAGTCAGAACCTCTGCCTACCCTCAACCCCCATTCCAGGCCCCTCTCTGCCACCAACCAGTGTAGAGACCTGAATAAGTCACGTCTCTGCTGTTGGTTTCAGATGATCTGTGACGCGCCTGGCCTGGAGCCTGGCACACAGCAGGTGCCCAGTAAATACCTATTTGGCGGGGCGCGATGACTCAACGTCTATAACCCCAGCACTTTGGGAGGCCGAGGAGGGTGGATCACCTGAAGTCAGGTGTTTGATACCATCCTGGCCAACATGGCGGAATCCTGTCTCTACTAAAAATACAGAAGTTAGCTGGTTGTGGTGGTGCATGCCTGTAATCCCAGCTACTGGCGAGGCTGAGGCAGGAGAACCTAGGAGGCGGAGGTTGCAGTGAGCCGAGATCATGCCACCGCACTCCAGCCTGAGCAACAGAGCAAGGCTCAGTCTCAAAATAATACATACATACATACATACTGTACTATTTGTATTAGGAGAGGAGAACACCAAGAAAGAGAAAAGAAGAAGCCTGTGGCACATAGCAGGCCATGGCAGCAGGCGTGTCTCCTTTGCTTTCCTCACCCACAGCCCGTCCAACCCATCTCTTTTCTTAAGCTAAAATGTTCAGCAGAGGTGTGGGTGGCTCATGCATATAATCCCACCCAATTTGGGATGGGTTGAGGATGGGGAGGGGTTGCTTGGGCGTCGGAGTTTGAGGCTGGCAGGTGAGCCACTGTACTCCAGCCTGGTGACACAGTTGCGACCCCATCTCCTTTCTTTCTTTTTTTGTTGGTTTTGGAGACGGACGAGGAGTGTCGGTCTGTCGCCCCAGGCTGGAGGGCAGTGGGTTGATCTCCACTCGACTGCAAGCTCGGCCTCCCAGGGTTCACGCCATTCTCTGCCTCAGGCTCTGGTGTAGCCGGACTAAGCGCGCCCAGCCACCGGCCCGGCTAATTTTTTTGTTTTTGCAGTAGGGTTCCACGAGTGTTTTAGCGATGACCTCGGATCTCCTGACCTCCGCTGATCACACGCATGTCCCTCGCCCAAGAAGTGCGGATTAAGGCGGTTGAGCCACCGCGCCTGGCCGACCCCATCTCTTTCTGTATTTTTTCACCTCTACCTGATGTGACTGAGTAACTCCTGGGGTACATCACCTCTTTGAGGTGACGGAAATGTTCTAAAGTTGATTATGCTGATGGTTGGTTGCCCAGCTGTGA